CTCTTCTCTCCATTTATGCTGACCTGTTAATATTACACACCTCACAGCTCTCTCTCACTGTGGTTTATCTGAGTTAAGTAACGGTCAGGAGGAGGCAGACAGATGACAGATGAGGCTGCAGGGGCGAGGCGTTATACGTCTTTGTCTCGTGTTTTGTAGTGCACACTGGAAGGTACAAACAGTATGGCAGACCATTCCTCCAGGCAGTGAGTGACCAATCAATACTCCTGAGAAAGAGCTGCTCTGCCTCTCTCCATGTGAGTTCATCCGATCGGCTTTCAGCTACAGTTTCCAGCATCATCTCTTTCGCTGTCATACACTCTTCTCTTTTATAGCATGCCTTCTACTCACTTTCTACACTATATCCTCCCTATTTATCAATCTAATCAAGCCTGGGGAGAGAGAATGAGAGCTGTTTGCAATGTTCTCTCACCTCTCTCCTCTCCTGTCTTTCAGTTACCACATCCCTCCCTCTCTCTCTCGCTCTTGCTCTCCATCTGTGGCTGGCATCTTGTATAACCCTATAGACCCGCAGTGCCCTCATGAAATAAAGCTGGCAGCCCGGGGAGTGAGAAACACCAGGGACACACTGAATATCTGAGCACCTTTCCTAGCCCCTGGGCAGAATTCCTTTTATCTCTCTCACTGGACTCACTGGAGTCTGGCTGAAGTTTTAGAGGATTTGGAACAGCAACAATCCTTAATCAAATGTGTGGCTTTGAACTGCAAGACTACTATCAGTCCTTCTGTCGCTGACTTCAGTTTATTTTACAGTATTTGTAGTCTCTTCGGATAATGTAGAATAACTCTGAAACACCTCTTGAACAGATGAATATTTTTCTATAATATCTGCATCCAGTTAAAATCCAGTTAAAAACAAACTACATCCAGTTAAAATTAACTACATTAGTGCAGATCACTGTAGTTTCTCTTCAGACAGAAGCACAAACTGAAACAACAGAAGACAAGAATAACTCTAACAAAGTTAAACCGTTACGCACTTGGCCTGCTCTGAAGTCGAGTCGTGCTGTGTAGTTCTTGAGGACTAATTCAATTACAGACTTTTTAATCTCCCCTTATATACTACCATAATATAAATAAATAAATACTAATGTAATCAATTTGTGATATCTGCTGTTAAAATGAATAACAAGATTATGGTATGATAATTCATTCATTCATTCATTCATTCATTTCATAAGGAAGCAGGGATCAACAAGCTGTAACAACAAAAGACAATAATTCTTACAAAGCTGAGCCATCATGTCATTGGCCTCGTCTGAGGGAAGATTTTAGCCCTTTATTTCTTGAGGAGAAATTATATTTATAGATAGGCTGATGTGTGTGGTAATGGCCATAAGGCGGTCTTTGCTTTATTAATTGTTCTTGGTGTCAGCTAAATGCACTCAACATATTATCTGTCTTTAAATAATAATTGAGGTGGTTCAGGGTGGCTGTTACTTTTCTGATATCTGCATGAGATGCTATTAAAATAAGACTATAGGTCAATTACTGCCATAAGGAAGCGCAGAACAACAAAGATAAACAAGTCTAAGATGACTCTAACAAAGTTAAGATTGTGTATTTAAGAAGAAATTGAATGAAGACCATTGCTCCATTACACATCCATTAGAGTAAATGCAGTTGATGTACTAATGTCCGGGGCCACCGCACAGTGACAGAACAAACTTTCACTCTGAGTTTGGGAACATACGATTAATGTCAGGCTACAATAACTTCTTTACTACTGTTTTGGGTGGTTTAAGAACTGTATCTACTGTATGCACAAAGCAGCTTCAATGCAAATGACATTGTCTGGTGCAGTAATAGGAGCTGAAGACTTCACAATGAAAACCGAGACACACATCAATATTTCCAGCTGATACAGTAAGACCGCATAACAAACCGGCTGGCCATACATGATGAGAGTGGCTATCACCACCAACTACAACAGCTCAGGAAACACAACCTACCTTTTCAAGTTGGCGTTATAAACAGGTTTCTGGTGGAGACATCCTCGTTGCTCCTGTCGCCGAGGTCATGATGAAGTTTCGGGCTTGAATCGGAGGCGACACTGGCCCGTGATTTTCTAAGGCCACCGAGGTGGGAGGGTGAGGCGCGCTGGAGACACCGTGCTGAGGTGAGGGGAGGGCTTGGCTTCGGTCAGGGAGGAGAAGAGGAGAGGGAGAGGAGGGGGGGAGGGGCTACACCTCCTTCACCTTCTCCACCTCCACTTGACAATGGGCATCCTCCACTCAAGACCCTGAAGTCGCTGAGGATCTGACGTTTCCCTCAGCACCGGTGGCGTGTTGTCAGGATTTGATGCCCATTGTCTTTATAAAAAAAAAAAAAAAAAAAAAAAATTCTTTATTGAAGCTGCGAATGGCATGTTTCTGTTCTTATCACTTCGTTTTTGTTTGTAAATCTACACTTGCTGCTTTAACAGCCTGAAAATACACTTTGCCATGTGCTTTACTTTTTTTTTTCCTTTGGTGTCATACCGCCCTCTACTGTTCGGTCAGCATTATCTCATCCAACATCTGTTCACTGGTCAAGGTCGCAACATCTGCATTATGCCATACATTGCATCTGTGTATTCAACGATTACAGTGTAAACATATGTTAAAATACTAGCCTATGTCTGAGTGTTTGCAAATTCATTAATTGTTATAGATTAAAGTTGTAAAGTAAGATTTCATCCTTTTACTGGCTACTTATCCAGTACGTTTAAGGCCCTGATTCAGAAAAGCTCACATTGCTCAGTCCTCTTTGTCCTTTTTTTTCAAATGCAATATACAGCAATACATGTATAAACTGAGGTCAATGTGTATCATTTCTTATCATGTTAATACAGAAAATAAAGCAAAGAGCTTACTTTGTGGCCATACAGGCACATTAGCATTGACACTGCCATATTGTGATTTCCTGACAATGCACCTCTGTCTACTGCGAGGAATATACAATGGAGCAGGGCTGATGTATAGAAAAAGAAGAAAATCTAGAAAACAATATTTTGAGAAAGAAATAGGCTTCCAAAGAACATTGAGATTGTTGTCTTGTCCTTTTTTGCTCTCTTGTCCAGTGATTGCATGTGAATTGATGTTGCATACAGTTTGTGACAATGTCAATGTCACAGAATCATAATTTAATAGAGTCTTGACCTTTGTGAACATGCCTCAAAGGTTCAAACACATCATTACTTTGTGATCACCCTATTTCACAAGCTTCTCGAGTGTATTCCAGATGAACTCGAGACCAAAGCAATCTAAAACACGGATGAAGGGACAATCACTGTTCAGATATATATGTACAGTGTACAGTCTATTCAATGTAATATATTACAAAATGTAATATATTAGTTGCAGAATCTGTTGCTACAGGAGACATCGCATTGTAAATATTTTAATATCAATAGTCTATTATAATTCAATATATTGTGATATTAGTATTATAATAGCATACATGCTATTATAATATGTATAAATGTAACCTATCCACATATTTTAGAGATACATGATAATATGATGAAATATAGACCTACTCCTCAAATGGGTCTTTCCCTTCCTCAAATCCCCCTCTGACTCTCTTGAAAACCTGTCAGTAGCTATTATAATATTCATAAATATAACGCATACACATATTTTAGATAGATAGATAGATATATCATGCTAAAACGATGAAACAGGCCTTAAATAGGATGATGTAGCCCTACTCACATGTCCTTACACGGATCAAGACAGTTCGGAAACCTCGTCTGAGTCGCTCGAAATCTGGTCGTTTTCTTCGTCCTCGCAGCTCAAACTATCTTCCAGTAACTTACTAACAGCTTTCTTCAGTTTATATCCTTTTTGTGTCATGATAAATGTGTTTACAACTCAAACTTTTTATGTTTCGTGTGTCTTTTGATCCCAATTCATCCACGCTCTGCTCTTTGTAAACAAACCCATGCAACTTCCGTGCTTTAGTTTGACGTTGCTACGTGTAGGTCAGCTGATATCGACGTCTTCATGGCTGCGCAGAGAAGCGTAGATTTATCGGTTTTCTTAAATGAGAGCAAATTGTTTTTTTTATTTTAATTTTTTTTAATGTTCATTAATTTTTGGGAATTTTTTAAATAAGGCCTGTGGACTAGAGTGATATCGATGAAAGATTTCAATTCGAAGCTTAAATTCGGCCACGTTTTCAGAGTGAAACGTATGTCACGCACAATTAGTTCACGGACCATGGGGAAGTTGACAATCCGACGATTCTTTCAATCTTTACAGCTTCTGTCTATGACAAATAGTTTATTTCTGGCGATTCTCGGAAAGAAAGGTGGTTATTCGATCCCGTGTACGGGCTTGGGGTTAAGGGGTTAAAAGATAGATAAAGTTAGAGAATGTAGGCAGGGATATATAAGCATTTTGCTACGGCCTGAGCCTGTGCAGTCACTACATAGACCGTTGTCTATGTCTCTGTCTATATTGTTTATATGTGCCGTGTTATGTGTTATGATTGAATAAAATACTGCTACTAAACTTTTGTGCAAAAATCAACATACTAATATTAACTGTTGAAAATTAATAAAATTAAGAGTGACACTTTTGTTTTTTAACTTTATTAAATTATAAGTTCAATGCTCAATGTCCATTTAGGCATTTCATAAAATGTAAATACAACCCAGTAATATAATTTACCAGGAATAAATCAGTAGTCTAAAGAATACAGACATCAGTGTAAACAGTATTATCTCACAAACAGTATCTCGTCCAGCTACCTCTGCCTCTTCTGGCTGTGTTAAAGAAGCTCTGTAGCTAGATCAAACAAAAAACATAACCCTGCTATTTCCCTGACAGAGGATCACAATATATGCATGCGTTTTAACAGTGGCTAAGCTTAGGTATTTGCTTCTGCTTTCTCAAGGATAATTTACAACCAGATTATTGCCTTTGACTGTCTATATTGGTCACGACTGCTGAAAACCAGCTTTGTCATGTGGGACTTTTTTAATACAGTAACATTTACAAATGTGCAGCTTTTAGCTCCACTCCATTTTCCCATGTGGTGGCTGGCTGCTTGATTTTGTCACTGATGGTGGAGGGGGTGGAGAGGTTCTCAGGGGGGTCTGGGTCAGGCAGGTGCCAGTGGATGAAGATCAAATACATGAAAGTACCTAAAACACCACCAATAGGTGGAGCCACCAGAGGTACCCAGAACCAGTAGTTGTAACACCTGGAGAGCAGACACACAAATTAACAACAGAGAGGAATCCATGCATATAGCAGGAATATAGCTGAAGCCATTTAGACATGTCTGGTTCTCATCTGAAGTTTCATAAAAAAAGTGTTTTTTAGGGTTAACATTGAATCAAATGTGTACGTAAAAAGTGATTGCACAATCTTTGCAATATTAACACCAAACTTTTTTGCCTCTTTTAGCAATTTTGTTTTAATTTTGCAACCTGTACACCTACTGCATGCTTCAGTCTCACTGCTCCTTCTACTGCAAAAACAGGACTAGCTGCCAAAGAAAGCTGAACATATGCCTCAGCTGGCTCAGCCCAAAACAGAGCTAAAAGTTCTAGTAAATATTGAGCTTAGTGGATATTTATCAGGTGACCAGAAACACAACTTCAAGTGGATGATAACATTACTGTTATTGTAACATTACTCTTATTATCATGTCAGTCATAAAAGCTTTACAAGGTGATAGTGGTGTGTCAATAAACTTAATTTTAATGTTTTTCTGCCCCCTAGTTGGCAAGAATCAATAAACGCAGCTTTGCATATTAAGTAAACATCAAGTGTTTTAACAGCTGTGGAACCACAGCAAAGTCATATGATTGCAAGATCGTACAGAGCAACAAGTTACGTTATGGAACCAACAACAGGTCATAATCTGATGTTTTGTAACAAGCTGACGCTTCATCTTCCTTTGATCCTGCATAAAACAGCTCCAACGTGATCTGATAACCTCTGACATACGAGATTTTCTGACAAACACAAGGTCAACAACCTGTAACAATGGCAAACCATGTCCCTTTTAAATGTCACTAAATTGTTTGAATGTGAGGCTTCATTGAGCAGGCCTCAAAATGTTACACAAGAAGCATACTAGATACTTACGTGAAGACCTCAGGTCCCCAGCCTGCAGTCAGTGTAAAGAGGCGTGGCCCCAAGTCCCGAGCAGGATTTATTGCCGCACCACAGTTAGCTGACATTGACATGGAGATCCCCAGGACAATCACTGCCACTATAGGGGGAATCAGCTCTGAGGGAGCGGGGGTGTTCCTCTTTTCACCCAAACACAAGATGCACAGCATCAGCATGGCAGTGCCCACCACCTAAGGTAGTAGGTATGAAATATATGAATAAATACGGCAACAATGAATGGAACAGCTGAAGTAAGCTTTAAAGTTTACACCAAAACTCCCAACTGACCTGGTCAAGAAAACTTCCACCCAAACTCATGTACTCTGAGGGATAAGTGGCAAATATAGACGCTGTCTCATTTGGGCCATACACAGTCAGCACTCCGCCACTAAACTCCATTATAGCATCTGAGAAAGAAACAGAGGTAATGAAATGTGGCAAACATTAAATCATATTTTATGCACACAAGTATGTATATACATTGATGATATAAGCATTTGAGATACCAGATAGACAAACCATAGTAAATCAGGTAGACAAGCCCTGATGCCACATAAGCCCCCAGCAGCTGGGAGAGGCAGTAGGGCACCAGCCTTCCCCAGGGTACCTGCCCCAACACACAGAAACTTAGAGACACAGCTGGGTTGAGATGAGCACCTGCAGAGAAAGGGAAAGAGAGGGACAGAGGGAGGTGGATGTTGAAAATGAATTACAGTGAGGAAGCTTGGAAGGTCATGAAATCTGAGATTATTTGAAGACATTAGGTACAAATCAGTCAGAGTGAAAACCTTGAAAAGATGAACAAGGCTTCTTTGCTCAGAGTGCCAGTTATTAATGTGATAAATCTACAGCGCTCAGATCAGTGAATGTCTACAGGAATGGAAAAGTCATAATTCAGAAATCAAAATATAGCTGATGTCTTTTACTGTATGTTCAACTTTCTGGGATGGCATGCTGAGAGTGTGATATTATATCAAGTTAAAAGATCAGATCATGGGAAATGTTAGTGTCCATTTGAACTGTTTTTACCTGTGATGCCCTTGGTGAGGTACATGGCTGACATGACACCCACAGAAAAGGCCATGTTGACTGACAGAAACTGGCCTTTAGTCTCTCTGCTGGTTTTCACCTGAGCTGCAGCAGAGCAGCCAAAGAGCTAAGATAAAGGGGACAGAGTGAAAGAAGAGAAAGTGGAAAGTGGCATGATAAGTCAGGAGAATACAAACTTCACAGATGTCAAAGGTCACTTCAAACAGATACAGGCAAAAACACACGTGCAGATTCTGTAATACCATAGTTTCTTTCTGTGCCATTGATTAATTATTTATAGGTCAAACTAGTGGAACAGTTGTCACAAAAAAAATTTCTGGTTGTTAAAATGTAATTAATTTCATACCTTCATGAACTTAGACTTTGTAATAAACCTGGTTATTTATTATCTAAATAGCCTTATAAGAAACAATATGTCCCCACAGATGAGAGGATATTACAAGAACACACACACACACACACACACACACACACACACACACACACACACACACAGTTATAAGTTATAGCTCACAAAGAACACACCTGTAAGACTTTTACTAATCAAACTTTATGGGTTATAACTCACCGATCAACATTGGTCACATTAGTCCTACATCTTTATTACAGGCACATTAAACCAAGTTATGGTGCCATGATAATTCATGGACATGCCAAGGCCATCAGGGATTTTGGAAACTGTTGTTGATGAAAGTAGTGCCAGTGAAATGATGACATGCGGAAGGCCTTTATGATAATCATGTCAACTGACATGGGTCAATAACAATTTACACACCTCATTTTCCATATCTTGTGATGCCAACATTTTGTTGTTGTTAGTTCATTAATGTTTCAAAATAATGTTAACTGGCTAAATAGACAAATATCCTCACCACTCTACATCACTATGTCTTTATACACAATCTTTGCATTTTGTTAGATTTATGGAAAAATTATATGAACTACATTTCATTGGTGTGACTTTGCTAATAAAGTGACAGTTGAAGTTTTCATATGGTGCTGTAATGTTAGGTGAGTTTCACAGAGATTTAGAAGAAAGAAAATAATACACAACATATGTTATTTGTTGTCCTCTGCACCCCAAACTAAGTAAAAACTTATGATAAAATAAGGATGTAAAAAATGTATAAGAAAAAAAAGAAAATGCAAGGAATTATTATTGGTTGTCATGAAGGAAATGTGTTTAATGTAAGGCCAGGACTAGAAAAGTGATGGAAGTGTGTGTAGATGTTGTACAGCTCTGAGGCCACTTACCAGCAAGATGAAAGTTCCCAAGAATTCAGCCATACACTCTCGCACCAGGGCATTTCTCACTCTGAACAAACGTAGCTTCAACATGGCCGGAGTTAAAAGTAAATCCTTCTTCTCATCTCACACTGCGCTCTGTCTCTGTGGTCAGACAGACCAGCTGTCTGTGTGTCTGTCTGTCTGTTCAGGACCAGATGATTTTCGTGACGACAGTGCCGAATGTCCACCTGAGCATCTGAGGCCCTCTGCACTGTAACCCACCTCTCCACGTCTCTTCCTCCTCAGCTGACCAAACACTATTACTCATTTATTGGTTTGTGTCATCTCCGGATTGGCTGTAATGTGTCTCAGCTGTTAGCGGTTGCTTATATGAATAGAGGTCATAAACAGTCAGATTATGTGTTGACAGCACTGACAGAGGGCAATAAGCCACAGAGTATACATATTGCAGAAATCTATAGACTGCTCTCATGAAATGGTGTTTATGTTTATGGCAAATAAACATCTGTAATCGTTTATTTTGGCAGCTATCCTATCAAATCAGCACAGCCAGAGATTTACACTATGACTACTCTCATCACATTATATGCACAGCAAATTAATGGTGCATATTCTACTATGTGCATACAAGCTTTTGGTGTATGTTTATGTTTATTCCCAAAGAACCAGTATACATCAATAATGTTTTTGAAAAGAACAACAAAATGAAAGCTTAACACATTTGGTTTTAACAATATTAAAATGTATCTTTTTCATAAATATTGTATTGTCCAAGAATACATCTTATTCAGAAGTATTGTTTTGGAGTGAAAAACTACACATCACTGTGTTTATATCCAGCTGGGGTTTTATGAGTTTATGTTTATAACTCAGAAACCTATGCAGGGAGATACCTCAAAGTGATCCATGAAAAAATTGCCATTAATATCAAATGTAGTCTTAAATTGATCATCATCATTCATTTATCATTATCAGATTGCTGTTAATCTAAATACACGTTTCTTTAAGCCAATCAGTCTCAAAAATACTTGATATGTTTATAGTAGGATGTTCTATGAATGGAGAGTGGAAATTAAGATTGCCAAAACCAGTAAATGATCTCTCATTTATGAATGGACCACTTACATTATAACTGGTGTGTTGAAACATTTTGTGGGGAGCATTAGGTAAGGTGGTTGATAGGGAAGCCCCTCTTATCCTTGGGAAGCTGGATGTCACGATAACCCCTCTCATTGAACTCTGGACTGTTGATGGATTATATAAGACAAATAATCACTGTGTAGGAGTAAAGACTCGTGTTATTGCTGATAAATTTCAGAGAGGCACATGACTATGTCACGAAAAAAATCAGATAAAATACAAAGCACACAATGGCCACATGATATACTTAGTTCCTGTAGTCCTGCATCCTCACAGCTGAAAAGCTGTTTCATCTGAAAACAAACTGGTCAGCTACATTTTGTGTTTGGGGAAATAAGTAAAAGTGAGGTAATGATTATCCCTCCACAACATAAACCTTGACATGGTATGTGGAGACTGTAAAGCTATACGGTTGCATCTTATCTAATCACATCTACGTTTGAGAGGTATAACAGTTTGATGATGTGTAAAAACAACAGATACCTTTACCCTGCAGTTTTGTCCCCAGGGTTTTTATTTCTGGGAACTAATAGAGGGAGTCAATCTATCTTTTCTGTCTCCCTCTGCTGGACATAAGAATAACAAGCATCAATTTGTTAGGATTTATTAAAAAGGAAAATAAACTCTAAATGCAGATGACATATATTCACAATATGTTACAAAGAGTGTTTTTATTTACTATTTGCCACATTATTAATTTTTAACTGATCGAAGTAATAGTATAAAAGTTGTTGTATTTACTAAACGTATGAGCCATCAGTGCATTTTAATTATTATACAGAAATAACCCAGGTCATGAGGTAGATGTAATCCTGTAAAAGAGAGAAGTGAAAAAAATACACACGTGTGAGAGATTATGTTTCCTTTTGGGCTTTGTTATAATGACTATGTGTAAACAAATGTCCCAGTTAATTTATGTCATGTTCTTAGCCACTACAGGCAACGCTGTCTCTCACTTATGGCTTTTAGTCTCTTGTTCATCATCATTCCCTGAACTTTACTGTGTGCAAAGCATTTGCCATAATCTTCATGTTTCCAGATGTTTTAGAGGGCGATGTAGTATTACGTCCACAGGCCCGGGGGGGAGCTTTCTGATCAAAGTCCAGGCTTCCAGGCGCCTCATCCCCACCATGCTCACACCTTCAATCTCTAGAACCTCATCACCAGGACACACCTTGTCGACTGGACCGCCTGAAGGGACAACACAGAACAGGAGCATTCAATAAATGGCTGTAATGTAAATGTAAAAATGTGTACAAAGAGAGTTTAAGTGAAAACTGTTATGTTTAAAAGGTCGTATGTGTGTATAATTTCAGAATCAAGTCTTAATTCTGACAAGCATGAATTCTTATATGAACAAAACTGGTATGCTCTTGTATTCTGTTTATCTATCGAGAATCTTTGCAACTTAAAGTCATTAGTGCCATTATTTTGCTGAAATTTACAACAGATATTTGTTCTCTCTAAAACATTAGTTAAAAATATTGTATACAATATATACGATGAGGGGATATAGCTGCATCAACCATCAGATATCCGGGTGTTGAGGTAGTTGTGGACAACGTTACAAATCAGTTCAGAATGACTTTCCACCGATGTGATCAGGTAGATTTATTTCAGGTACTTAATTTGTTGGATTAGCCAAAAACAAACTTTTTCTTTCAAGGTATGTAAAATATATGAGAAAATATCTGATATCACCATAGAAATTATTATTGTAATTTAATAAAAACCTGAAATTGTACTGTAGATAGGAAAAAATGATCTATATTGCACATTTAAACAAACTATTTCTCATCTCATCCGCATCCATAGTGATGCTCAAATTTCTACATATTTCCGTGGAGATATCAGTTCTCACCCTGGAAGATCTTCTGTACAGTGAGCGGTCTGTTCCCTTGACTGGAGCCTACACCTCCCTCCAGACTGAAGCCCAGATCCCTGCTCTTCTTCTCCAGACACACGCACACATTCTGACCTGAGGAGTGGAAAAACACAGATACAGCGTCTCACTTCGAACTGCTGCAGATGTACGACTAATGTCTTTTCAGAGCCCCGGTGAAGTTAGACATCTCACCTGTCTCAGTGAACTGAGTCTGTGTTGGTCCCTGATTATTTGTCTGCACTCCACTATTAGAGACGCTGTTAGCACATCCCCTCCTCAGGACCACCACTCCCATCTCACGAGTCTTCGCCCTTCTCAGCACCCTCAGAGCCTCCCAGTGGGCGTGGCATTGCAACGCTGTGCCGTTGATTGACAGCACCTGGTCCCCTTCCCTTATGGAGCCTTCCTGAGCTGCCACGCCTGAGTGAAAAACCTTATGGACCTGAGGAGAAGACATCAGGAGACTAATGAAGACACTGAGGACAACGTTGTGAAATATTCTCCGGAGAGAGAAAGAAAGGAGGCTCTTCCTTACAGTGACTGGCTTGTTCTGGTCCACGCCTCCTGCCAGACTGAAGCCCAGTCCCACTCCCACCTCTTTATGAAGAACCACCACCTGCACATCATCATAGTCCTGCAAGAGAAATGGTAGGCAAAATGAGAAAATGCATAAACAGCAAAAATGAAAAAAAGAGATGGAGATGACATGCAATAAAGGTTAGGCTAGTTTGAACCTTGGACTCTAAAGATAGAGGATCCAGAGTAACCTTAGCTCAGAATGAACTTTGTATATTTTTTTTAGGCCTTGTAGGAGCCATTTTCAGGCCTATGTATACATTCGTATGTATTTGTATTTACATATCTGACCACCAGGCAGAGCACCATTGAATTGAGATAAATGAAAGAGATAAAAGTTAAGGGGGTCAAGGTAATCACGTTCAGGTGTAGCTGCTTTCAGTTTGAGAAGCATACAAGTTTTTGACCTCGCTCATACCACTCTATGCCCCAAGACTTTGTGGTGTATATGCCCGATTTTGTAGTTTGTGCTTTTCGTGGAACATATTGGTTCATATTTGGTTTATTTCATGTGAAAAGGAAACTATGCACAATATCAGACAGATAGCAGCTGATGATCTATGACGAGCTGTATAATAAACCTTATCTACAAACAGGGCATTTCATTGGAAACATGAATCATTACTAAATCTAAAGCAAAAGCAGAAACTAAGTAGATTTTTAAGGGTAGCAAATAGTCACTACACAGGCCCAAAACCTAATCAGTAGCAATATGTATCACAACATCAATACCAGATGTAATGTATTCCTGTGAGTGAATGTCTAATCACGGGTTAATGCCAGGCAAAGACGGGCCATTGGAATGACCAGTGCACCAACAATCAGAAAGAAAGACAGATAGAATAACATGGGAAAAGTGACCTAACTTATGGTAATGATAACCTGGGTCCATACCACAAAAACAAAACAGCAAAGCATGTAAAAAGTTACTTGTGTCCAGCTGTTTGTACCTGCAGGGTGTTGTCCCCCAGGCTCCTGACATCCTCCAGCAGCCTGTCAAGCTCCTCACTGGGCATCACAGACACATATGAGAGGGCAGACACGTCTGAGCTCAGAGAGGCAGTCCGCCCACCTGCTGACTGCCACTCATCGTTGTCATTCTCTGACTCGTAGTCAACTCCAGCAAAGTTACACAGTTCTGAAAGACTACGGGGAATGAGAGGAGAGTATTGAGAGAAAAACGAATCAATTAGATTAATTATTAAATGATTACCTCTGTCAAACCAGATATCCGACCATTTCTCAAGAACCCACCTGACACAGAAGCTCCTACGATCTGACTGGCTCATGTTACTGGTGATGGTCACCGAGGACTCTCCAGAGTCTGAATCATAGTTTGAATCCTCATCCTTCTGCGTACTTTCATCATCATCCTCGTCATCATCTTCATCATCATTCCAGACTTTAATCTCTGAGCTCAAGCCAGCTACCCAAGCATCCAGGTCTAATACCTGTTTCTTCCCCTTCTGGTAGGCTGTCTTGACATCTGGAGAGATGAGATGAGGGAGGTTGCTGTGGGAGGAGGTGGCAAGGGGACGAGGGAGAGGTGGGGAGTCTGGATCTTGAGTTTTGGCTGCTTGTGTGACAATGGGAGAGGCATTTTCCAGTAGTGCGGTAGGTGAATGAAAGGGCGAATGGCCAGGGGTATTTGTTGGAGTCTTGTCATCATCACTAACAGTTGAAGTAATCCCAGAGGGTGTCATTTTCTGCACATTAGAGGAGGTGCCACTGGAATTAGACGGTAGCGAGGATGGTGTATCGTCGGCTGTCATATCTTTCTCACTTGCTTCCTCAGGGCTTGAGAGTTTGGAGAAATCTGTCTCATCTATGTAAAAGTTTCCACGGCATTTTTGAGCTCCTCCGTTTAGAGGGATTTCAAGTGTACCCTTGAGTCTGGAATATTTACCAAAATCTTCAGCACAGTTGTTACCTTTCCTTCCATTCTCAGCCAAATCATTCCCTTCTCCTTCTTTCCTCCTCAATGTCAGTCCAACCTCGTCCAATGATAAAGACCGTTCCGACACTGCCTTCTTTCCGGCTGCTGTCTTTTTCTCTTCAGAATGATCACCTCCCTCCCCTCCCTCTTTCATTCCCTCCCACTTGTCCCTCAATCCACCTATTGCTTTTGCTGACCCACTCTTCTTCACTCCATCATGGGCCCTGCTGAGTTGCGTTGGCACAGATAAGGCCCTCCTGGGCATCAGGACCTGTCCCGTTGCCAAACCCTGAGCTCTCTGTGACAGAGCCTCAAACTGACTGATCTTATTTCTCACACTGGCTGCAGAGGGCACCGATAACATCTCTGAGAACTTCTTCCTCTCTGTTGTTTTCAGTGTAATATTTTTTGGATTTGACTCAAACACATCTTCGTCAGTGCTACCACCCCTCATTTCATCTTTTTCTTTTGTGCCATCATCTGTCTCTTTTGCCCCATTCATTCCATTAGTCTCAGCCTTTTCCTCTCGATGGTTGGCCCTGTCCTGATCCTTACTTTCATTTGATCTTCTTTGTGTGAATTCGGATGAATCTTTGAGAGAAACTGATGTCTCGCGTGCTAGGAAGGTTTTAGTCTCTGGAGGTGCAGTAATCCCTCCTGCAGCCCTGGCAGATCTAATCTGAGCTGCTACCGTGTTCCTACTCCTTGCTCTATCCAGAGACCTTGTGCCTATTTCCGTGAACCCTTTCCGCCAGTTCACTCCACCGTCCTCTGAATACCTGCCCTGGATCTTTCCCTGCCCCTGTTCTCCTGACGATCTCCTGCTTCTTCCTGGAGAAACTGAACTGTCAGAGCCTAAGGTAAGTTTTTGAGAAGTCCAGGTGATTGATTTCCCGCTTTGCACTGGACTGAGGCTATTTTTCTCTCCTGATAAGAAAAGCCTGGGCAAGGCTGCCCCCGCTGCCCTCTCAAATGACCTCTGCTGTGACAAAATAAGGGAGTCTTTGGTTGTTACAGGGGTAGGGAGGTCCCTAATTTTGCTGTAATTCTCATCTTTACCAAAACCAGCAGACCCATAGAGTTTTTCTATCCGCTCGAGGATGCTCTGACCTGCTATGGGCTCAAAAGTAGCTATCTCTGTGCCTGGACCAGACTGTGACCTAAACCTGGAGGGGAGAGAATGACCCCTGCTGGCCCTGTCCAAAGTCTGGCTTGTGTGACCCACTGGGCTACTCTCTCTGTCAACATGACTTGTGCCTGAAGAGTTATTGGCATGTATCGAAGACATCACCCTGCCCCTCACACCTTCAGCTCCTGTCCTTCTTTCATCCAAGCCTCCAGCCTGTTTATTGAAGTCCTCTCCTCTTTTTTCAGCTCTGCTTCTTGCTTCCGTTCTCCAATCTAAACTCTTACTTCTACTTAGCCAGTCGTATCTCCTCGCCTCTGCCCTGCCCTGGCTTTCAAATGCAGGGTTTTCACTTCTGCCACCGCCTGTGATCATTTTGTCTCCTATGTCATTCTGGTTCAGCTTGGGGGACATTTCATGGCCTGGCATTTCCTTCTCCTCACTCTGACCTTTGACACTGCTGCGACACCCAGTCCTGGCTTGATATCCTGCGATTCTGTCCTCCTCTTTACGCGTACCATTTGTGTCTGCGTTTGTGCCATACCTCTCTTTTTCTCCAGCTTCTTCAGCACCCTCCCTCTCCTCCACAGAAACACATCTGTGTTCCCTAACACCTGGCCTGCGAGTGAGACTGTATGAGGGAGAGTTAGCCGAGCGGACAGTGAAGCGTGCTCCTGTCCTCTGCTTGTTGCGCTCACTCACTGGAGTAGGAAGCAAGGACAAGTCCATTGTCTGAGAGTAAACAAAGTTAATGATCTCCTGTCAAGTGCCAAATCCCAAAAAGAGAGCGGAAGAGTGAACTTGATATTTAAGCGATTCCAAGCAACTGTCTTTTAGAGAGCACTCTGGAAGCAGTTCATCTAAAAGCTGCAGTCTCGAGACTGTAAAAGACAGTGAAACAGTGGCACAGTTGCAGTCCTCTCATTAGTTCCTTGCACAGAAGCAAATAATACATTAAAAAGTTTGATATTTCAGTGCTGTTGATGATTCTGTGGTCTAGAAGTGATAACTTCTCTTGGCTCCTCTTCCTGCTTTCTTGTCCTCAGGAGTCTTCAGTTCCCCAGCACGACCTCAGCGAACAGCTCCCATCGCCTGCCAAGCATAAAAACGTACAAATTTCCATCCGCAGAACAGGATTGAGCTGGAATGTTGTGATATGTGGATTGTGGTCGCTCTAGCTGCTCAAAATGGTCAAGCAGAACCACAGAGTGGTGGAGGACAATGAACACAATATGTCACAGTGAAGCATGAAGTTGATAGTGAATGGAGTAGATATGAAAATCATGAAAAACAATTAAAGGGGATAAGAAAAAAATGGAACAAAAGAGAGACCCAAAAGCACTACAGTATGCTCACTCCAAACCCCCTGTCAGTTATGTCATTCTGCCCTCCGAACACTCCCCTCCCACTGACTCAATAAGTCCATTCACAGAACAACAGGACTCAGATAGGTCTCTTTGTTGTACACACATATTATAACGGCTGTTTACACAAGAAACATACTCATGACTCCCTGTCAACGTTGGCTCAGCCTGAACCAAAAACTGGAAAAACTCACCTAACAGCAATCCACTTAGCAAAAACAATGTATTAAAGTGCCACATTCAGTCTCTGTGCAGCATGTATCAGTCACACAGAGTCAAAGAGAGGCAGCAACTGATTGAAACCTTGTAACAGTGGATTCACATGAAGTGATCAGATTAGATGGAAAAAGATGAGGACAAAGTTACTTTCATTTACATACAGCCTAGTGAGAGAAAGATAATGTTACTGATGGACAATGGCTCATCAGGGTTATCTGACTATACAGCCACACACTGCAGTGAAACTGTCTTTGATCATTCATCAAGTCAGAATCAGGATCCAATCATCTCTATTGACATTAAACATAAATACTGCAAGATGTAGATTTACTGCACAAATACAGTAGGACCAGGGAATTAGATGAGCGCTGCCTGTATAATTATATGAAGCAGATTTTTTATGAAATCTAGGTTACAATGTGTAACTTCGGGAGACCGTCTCTGTGGTGCTTTCCAACACAGGTGAGTCTGAGTGTCGGTTTACAGAAACACCTGTTCTGCTAGGTCACAAAGCCTCCCATCTGGGTAACCTGGGCAACATGGCCCCGTTTATTTTAAAGTCCCACTGAACATCGAGAAAGACACACATGTACCCAGGCATTAGGAAAGAATACACACAGTTACTCTAATTACAAATTAGCTATTTGATCCATTCACACATCCACAAACACATGCACCTTACCTTCTCTAAGAGCAACCTCTGTCCTAGACCACTGTGTTGACACGGGGTCATAATGCAGGCAGCGCTCTGGAGTGACATCAGCTCCTAACGCCTCTCTCTCTGTCTTTTTCTCTCTCCATCAGCTTTGCATGATGGACTGTGTACAGTGACGCAAACCCGCCACACTGGTTTATCCTCTTGTCCTCTCTCTCTTTCTCTCTCTCTCTCTCTGTCTGTCTCTCTCCTCCCCCTCCCATTGTTGTTTTCTCCCTCTTTCCGTCTTCTCACAGGGTAGCATTCCTGACTACAGTTCAATGTGTCACCCACTAAACGTCTCAACAGGGAGTGCGCACACACACACACACACACACACACACACACACACACACACACACACACACACACACACACACACACACACACACACAAACACACCCTACTATTTCAAACTCCATCTCTCGGCATATAATGTGTGACATCAGCATTTCATAGCTCAAGGGAGAAGAGACACAGTTTAGATAGCTGTGTGAAACAGAACAAGAATGACATTTCCCAACACAGGCTTATAATATCACCCCACCTCAGGCAAACCTGAGTCTAATCATCTGGGCTGAGCAGGTATCAAAATACATAATAACAGAGCACCTTTAATTGGGACCAGAGACCACAAAGAGTTCATGTAGACTCAGAAATACCAACAGGGATAAATGTTGTTAAAAGTGCACCTCTCGTATGACATATGTTCAAAATACAGAGCTCTGGTGCAGACACACTTGTTGAGAGTTTTAAGGGAGTGTAATGCCAACTGAAGGGAAAACATGTCAGAGATTGCTGATAGGTTTCATCCACACTGTAGAAGAAGAAGAAGTATTGTTTGTGAGAATACTGAATTCTGCAGAGTGGGAAGGTGAACAAACAGCCATTGAATCACATGTACAAGGAGAAAGCAGACTAAAAAAAAGCAGACATAGATATACGAAATAAAAAACAAAAAACAGCACTTACTGTTTTCATTTCTCATGTAGAGGCTCACCATCTTACTGCTGCTTTTTGCATGCACCTGCTACTGTCTTCTGTTGAGACAGAGGAAACTGTGGTTACCACATCAGCATTCTGCAATGGTAATGAGAGATGTCTCTGTTTGTCAAAAGGCAGAACACACTGAGGCATATCTGAAGCCAAGTCTGACAGTCCTATGAGTCCAATCAATGTAAGGCCTTATACAGACAGATGACTGGTAGGTTGCATGGTCTTCCCAGGACAGAGATTAGTGTGTGAGTAGGGGTAAATAGCTACAGCACAGCTCCACAGACTCCCACCCTTGTTCCTAACAGAAGAATGGCACTCAGTGTCTCTGCAGGATGTATGCAAATCACTGTCTTGCTCACACTGACACACTGGTGGTAAATTAATTCTTTAGGGTGTAGGATTTAGAAACCATGTGATATGATATTTAATCAGTAGTTCACAGTTGATATAAAAAGAGTACAGGCAATTCAGTTTCAAGCAAAGCAAAAATGGACTGAAAGAATTGGGCCATGTAAAGGTTTTTATCTTTTCTGTTAGAGCTGGATAATATATGGTTATCTAGCCTTTGTTTTCTGTCAGTTTAGCGTTTCTTTATCGATACTGTTTGTGTTGTTTGCCGTGTCGTACTGAAGTCAATATCAGCACCAGAGGGCAGAAGAGGACAGAGAAACGTCAGACCTGACGTCACCCTGTCCGTACCGGTCATGTGACTACCGCGGAAGTCAACAAACCAGGGAGTGACATGTAACAACAATAAGCACTTTACTTAACTTCCCTTTGTTCTGTCTCTCGTTTAACGTTAGCTCCATGTGTTGTGAAAACGAGCACGTAAATGTAACCGTGTGCTTTACAAACTGTTGGACTGAGTCTGAGCTGTCGTGTAGCTGGCGTCATTGTTTGATAGTTTAGTGAAAAGGCAGTTTCAAAATGCGGAATGATTCCCTGCTCTCAAGCATCAATGTGGTGCTTGTAATGGCCTACGGAAGTCTGGTGAGTCTGTTTCACTTTGTCATCAATGTTTTGTTCCTGTCTGATGGCTACATCAAGCTGAAGTTTAAACTCACGATAACAACAATCTAAATGTGAGTTAAAGATCTCAAAAGACAAACTATCAGATAAACAGAGGGTGATTTGATCCAATTACAGTATTTTACAGCTGCTCTGGCTCAATTTCAGCACGTAAAACTTATTATGTAGCAAATATATGTATGGTTTAGTGGTTTATGCTCTGCAGCAACATGTTTTTCTTATTGCTTCATTATTGATTATTGCTGTCACTTAAAAGTAATTGAGGTATTTAATGTTTGCTGTGGTGGATGCAGAACAGAAATAGTAAATTGTGAAGTTCAGACACAATCGTCATTTTTCCTTATAGGAATGCAGGAATGACTGGTGTTGAGTCATACTCCACACTACACTATGTATACTTAGTTATACAGTATTTTCTGTAAATAAAATGCAAGTTTCCAAAATAACCTCTTAAACTACTACCCTTTTATTGATTTCTGTGTTACTTAATACTCCATCAAGATGTTTAAAAGTGATTTTGATGTTCATTCTAATGTCCTTAAGAATATAATTTTAGCCTCTAGTAATGCTTGGGCAATTTCTTGACTGTCCTCCAGGTGTTTGTTTTACTGTTCATTTTTGTCAAAAGACAAATCATGCGGTTTGCTATGAAGTCTCGGAGAGGACCACATGTTCCCCTAGGTCACAATGCACCTAAAGTAAGTCAGACACCACAATGTCATAACTATGATTTTTGTTAGCTTGGTTTTGCTTGTGCATTTACTGAAGTGTTGTGTCTGTGCTGTAGGAGTTGAGACAAGAAATTGAAGCCAGACTGTGCCAGGTCCAGAAAATCCACTTTGAGCCTCGCCTGCTGTCCCTAGATGATGACCGGCTAAAGCAGAGAGAACAGACTGGTTAGAGGAGCACACACACTCCAGTCCTGAAACTATCCACGAGTTGTTTTTATGCTTGTGTACTGAAGTGTGTGTGTGTGTGTGTGTGTGTGTGTGTGTGTTTTTTGCAGATTCCTATGACTACCTGTACAGGATGAGAGCACTGGATGCCATTAGAGACACTGGTACGCATTCCTGTCACTGTTTGCTTTTGTTTTGCCATCAGAGCACTTGAATCCCTCTGCACTGTTACAGTACCACTTGTAATTTCTGTCAAAAGATCTCCCCTTCCGTGAACTGGGTGGGACGTCCACTGCTGTGACGGGAAAAAGATTTCGGACCTGGCTTCTGCAGCTACGAAATTCCCACTGCATGTTCCGAGACAGCCAGAGCTCCCTTGTTGACACAGTGCTGGATGGGTACAATAAAGCCCGCCACGGGGCAGAGGTCAGTACTGCTGTGTGTGTTTGTGTACCACAGGCACTCAGTAACTCAATATTGTAATTTATCATCTCAGCAAACACATTAGGGCAGTAATGTGATATTGTGCTATGCTGTCCTGTGTCAAAATTAAAGATTTTGAGAGTCATATATACAGTATTTACAATATACATATATGATAGTTATTAAAGAATGTTAATTGAAAAATTATATTTTGTGTTATTGTTATAGTTCCATGGAGTTCACTAACACCCATGATTTCATATATCTGCATATAGTTCTGCATTGTGGCCAACTCTTAATGTTTATATGGTATCCTTATGATTAGAATGATGATTGTGCCTTTTACTATACAGTCCAACCTGGTGTGTATTGTATGATGCAGTTGACAGATGAGAATGCATACAAATGTACATCGTCATCCTTTTGAGGGGTAGATGCAGTGTATGAATATTATGTCCAGGATTTGGTAAAGCATATCTTAACTGATGTGCTTTTTTTTTTTTACTTCTGTCTTTGACTGTAGGCTTTTGGTGAAGCAGAGTTTATAAAATACCAGGAAGCTCTAACTGAACTGGCCTCTGTGTAAGTAAACAGAACACAAACACAAGCTCCAAGTGCTTTCTTGCAGCTTTCCCTTTAAGCTAATCCCAATGTGGAATGTTAATTATACACTGGGGACAATCTGTTTCTCCCTCTGCTGTTTCAGTGTGAAGTCTCACAGCAGTAGCAGCAGCACTCCGAGCCAGCACCACCAGTCTGCAGCCAAAGACCTGACCAGTACCACAGATCCTGCGAGCTCCTGCTCCTCCCCCACCCAAACCACCTACCTCATATCCACAATGCAGCAGCGCAGCAAGAGGCCCAGACACTTCCTGGAGCTGAAGAACTTCAAAGACAACTACAACACTCTGGACAGCACGCTCTGAAAATCTATGACGTCCATCCAAAGGAAAGGTTAAGAACAAGGTAGTGCTGCCAGTGATTAAAGTGCCTGTGGACGGCGACAGGATCACTGTCGCCAGACAGTATTAGGGTGAAGTGACAAATACACTGCCTTCACACACTAACACACATTGCCTGTTTACAGTATAGTGCATATCAGACTACTGGCACAGTGCTCTTTACCTAAGTGTAGCTTAAATGTATATCCTGTATTACTGCATGTATGAGTGCTATATGTGGGTAGAAAAATGACTATAGTAAATGACTATAGTAAGTATGGTTGATTTGACCAAAACAAAACCAGAGCTATGTGGCTATGCAATAGCATCAGACAATCAGTATTTATTGAACAATGTAAAGGCCTATGCACACTTGTTTAAATTATCCAACTGTTTGTACACATGCTGATAGTTACTGTTGTTATTACTAGTGTTAATGGTTGCTTTACACTGAGAAAAACACACTGTTAATGTCACTTCTGTTTACATCTATGTATGTCTCTACTGCTCGTATGTTACTGTGAATCCAACAGTCTTTTTGTTTTAAGCCTTAAATGTTTCTTTTACAGAAGCCATTGAATAAATCAATTTGATTTGAAGCCATACTTGGATTTGATTAATTTTGCTGTTAAGTGCTCTTTTAACTTAATGATTACTCTCAGTGCAATGTAATTTAACAGTAATAAAGTATTATGTGAGATTCAAATTAAATTTGCAGTCGAATATTATTTTTATTATTTACATTATTATGTTTGCCTGTGTTTCTACTTTTGGTGTTGCAATTATATTTGTCTATGTGTCACTGTTATAAATACTCAGTGTGTTAGTAGCCTATAGATTGCCGACACTTAAGGACACTTTGTGGCAGTATAGAGCTTCGTATCAGAGTTGTGGCAGTTAGAAGCCTCTGTAAAAAAAGAAAAAAAGAAAAAAGTGTGGCAGAGTGGAGCCGCACAGTTTTTCCAACTGTGTTGTGGACTAACCTGTGGACTTTTAGAGCCGCATTTTTCAGTATAACTGTTCTATTTTCAACTTCATTGTGAACGAGGGACATTGAATCAATAAAAGCCTTTTTTTGTTTTCATCTACAAGAGGTGTCGGTGTGAGCTGTGTGGATGGGATAAAGAACACGTGTCTGTTTAAGGTTTCGCACTGCTATAAGTTTTGGCTCATATATACTACATTTATAGCTCCCTCCAGTAGTAAACACGAAGCCCGAGGTCATAGTTAAAAACTGGGTTTATTTTCTGTACCACACCAACCCGTGAGAACTGGGTTAAAGAGAAAAAACAAACAAATAAAGCTTACAATAAACAAAATGCATGTGTGTGTGTGTATATATATATATATATATATATATATATATATATATGCATGTCCTGTATATAATTTATGTCCCCACAGCTACAACGGGCTGCATGCAGCGTTTAGCATAACACACACACACATCTTTGCAGTATAAATGAATTTCAAACAAAAACATACCTCGTAGGCTGCTTATACTAAAGGGGGCTGAATTTCAATGACTTTTTTGGTCTTCTTCACGTAAATCATATCTCTTTATATAGTTGTTACTCACTTTAGCTACAGCTCATCTGTCCTGCTTCTCCAGTGCTTCGATTGCAAGGTGTGCCTTTTAATTAACTACAGTGAGGAACACCGGAGCGGCAGCGGGCAGTGTCGCCTCAAGGACCACTAACCACAGGTTGGAGGTGAACGGCAGAAGAAAAAAAACAGAACCAAAACTGACAATGTGAGGTTTGGAGATGTTTGGAGATGCGCTTGACCTTTGAACTTCTGTCCGTGCTGGAGATTTAGGAGATACTCCTTCCATCGTGTCCAGAAGTTGTTAGCTAAGAGCTGAACTCGACGCCATCTCTTGCGGAGGTAAAGATCTTCCTCGACATACTTTCCAAAAGGTGGAGAGATAATCGTGGAATTCATGGTCAGGATGTGATTCGGTGTCAGCTGGAAGTTTAACAAGCATTTTCTGGTTCTCATTGCAGTCATCGAGTACTTCAAGGACCTTCATCTGAGACGTGGCAGCCTCACAGCTGTAGAGGGAGTCGGCAAGTTCTTTAAGTTCCACACTGCCTTTGGAGCTTATCTCGGGCCATGCATCGAGCTCGTCCCTGAAAGTTTTGGCGATGAGAAATAGATTGCCGTATCTTTCTCCGCCGATAGTCCATGCTGCGCGATAGGCTGACTCTGTGCCTAGCAGAAAGTAGCTCTCGATGGCCTTCTTGGCAGGTTCACCCACATACATTCGTAGATAGAATATCTTTTCTTCAGCTGGTATGTTTTTTCCTGTTTATGAGTGTCGGAAACTTTCCTGTCGTTGAATCTGAGTGGGTCACCACTGAATGTTATATGTTCAGGTATAAGAGGACGTCTCGCACTGACGGACTCTGCAAATGTTCTAAAAAGGGCTGCTGTGCTGTCATCTTGCTTTGGATGTGTCAAAGCTTATGGTGGGGAGCAGTGTTGAAACAAGCTACTTTCATGTTTGGCTTCATCTTTCTCCCTCAGAGGAGGAGCATTGATGGAGCGTTTATTTCTTCGTCTGAGCATTCACTTTGCTCATATACTTGCCGTCGTGCCTTGTCAGCCTTTAGCTTCTTAATCGTCTCCAGTAGCTCTAGTTGCTAGTTCTAGTTATCTCTATTCATTTTCAGCTTCCTGTTTGGCTCGTAAATAGGCAGCTTCAGCTTCGAAACTCTTCTATATTACGTTCTTCACTTGCGATACTTCTAAAGTGGCTTCATTGGCGACAACTTCAGCAGCAGCGTCTTGTCTTTTGGAAGAGGACTGACTTGAATGTCTGGATTTGATTTTTGAGTAGCTTCGAGAATGAATGGAGGACCTGGTGCGGTGAGAGATGATACTTATCTTGTCTGAGGCTGCGGACTTGATTACAGACTCCGTTCTTTTCCCACCTAGTTCTTCATCCCCTTGACCTTCACCCTTACTTGTGCTTAGACAACCTCCTGCAGTCTCGATGATTGTCCTTGTCACTGCTTCACAGGTGTCTAATCTGCGACGTGTGTCATGATCAGGAATGTCAATGCTCCTTAACGCTTCATAAACAGCATTCAGATTCTCTGAGGCATTGCTTACCTGCAAAAAACTCAAACTCTTTTTTACTTGGTTTATTTTAGTTTAGATTAAATCTAATATTGCCTTCAGCTGAGTAATTACCTCACTTACAGTAATACAACTTAAGTTTAATGTGGCCTAAGCTTAGTTGAGTAGTTATCTCATTTTGATATAACTCCTAACTTAAATCACCACAAGCGACAATTAATCAAACAAACATATTCACACTTTAAATGCACTATATTTTCAGCATACCCCTCAGTAAACACAATGTCAATATCAACACAGCATCAATATCAAATGAACTTCCATAAACTTCCATTAGAAAAAGGTGGGTAAACAACATTAGCTTGTCATACGACAGTGACCAAAGATGCCTCAGTCTCTGGTGCAGAACACTAAAAGTTGGTGGTTGCAGCTGAACTCACGCTAGAGCACCTGAATCTCCCCATGGGCTGCTTCTTCTTGCACTGCTGTGTAGGTGGCTCCTCTCCTCCATGGATCGCTGCTGACTGGCGCCCTCGAGGAGTAAACACGGAGCCCGAGGTCATAGTTATTTTCTGTACCACACCAACCCGTGAGAACTGGGTTTAAAGAAAGAGAGAAAAAAATAAAAATAAAATATACAATAAAAAAAAAAAAAAATGCATGTATGTATGTCCTGTATACAAATGATGCCCCCCACAGCTACAACGGGCTGCATGCAGCATAACACACACATCTTTACGGTATAAATGAATTTCAAACAAAAACATACCTCGTAGGCTGCTTGTACCGAACGAGGCTGAATTTCGATCACTTGTTCTTTGTTCTTCTTCATGTAAATCATATCTGTCTAAATAGTTATTACTCATTTTAGCTACAGCTCACCTGTCCTGCTTCTCCGGTGCTTCGATTGCAAGGTGTGCCTTTTAATTAACTACCGTGCGGAACACCGGAGCGGCAGCGGCCAGTTCCGCCTCCAGGGACCACTGACCACAGGTTGGAGGTAAACAGCAGAACAAAATAACCAGAACCAAAACTGACAATGTGAGGCAGTTACAACATTAATGCATTGTTAACGAGAGGTACTTACTTATTCCCATGTTAGACGTGGACTGCCCAAAAGCTGGGTCTGTTTCATTTGCTCAGGGTTTCAAAGGAGGCCTTGCAATGCCTGAGTAATTTTATTTTCTGTGGTGCTTACTGTGCAATTTGACATCCAAATATAACAGTGACATACAGTCGAATTGCTGTGCAGTGTTTTAACATGCAGTCAACACATTATAGTAATTTGTTGAGTGTCCAGCAGAGGTCGCTCCCTTCATAGTAATCCACCAGTTTGAGTCCAGTAAGAAGTAAAATGAAACACTGTATTCATTTCAGTAATTTATTCTGAGAACCACAATAACAGATAATAGATTACAGTGTACTTCATAGAAAATCTCCTCTATCAAACGACGTGTCTAGAGGCTTTTATTTAATATAAATAAATACAAAGGAGAAAGTTGTTAGGCAGAAGTTAGAACATCAAATCACATTCATTAATATGTACAAAACAAGGTGACTGTATACACAATGGAACTGAAATGCTTAGTAAGAAATATTGAGAATGACGACACTTCTATGAAGCAGCAATGCTGCCAAACATGTTCATTTTTCCTTCTGCTTCCTCAGTTTCATTAAGTGCCTTATTGTTATTTAAAAACAGCTCTTTTCATCACAGCACAGGTGTTGACCTTATATAGGCTACAAATATTTACATGTTAAAAGCATATTACCATTCACGCATTAAAGTGAACAGAGTCATGTATGAGTGACAAATGAGTAAACAGACACAGGATTCAGATCATCAGGTTAATGATTTTTTTTCTTTAGAAGAAACTGAACTGTCAGTTTAGCCAGCTACAGTATATTGGTGCTACATTACTGTACATGGACTTTATAATGTCATTACCCACTTTGGAAAAAGGGCTGACATCCTGCCCTTTGCACAACAGTTGTGTTTTGATACAACAATGCAGACGCCATAAACTCAAAGGTCAAAAATGTGATCAAAACAGGGCAGGGCGAGGAAACATTTGCATACAGTAAGCTGTATTATATGTAAAACTTTGACATCACATCAGGTGTATCAGTACACTTAATGCATCTACATTAAAGCTGACATACACACACACTCATTCATGACACATGCACAAATATACAACTGACCCCAGTGTGTGTGCATGTGTGTGTGTGTGTGTGTGTGTGTGTGTGTTTGTGTGTGAGTTTCCTTCAGGAGTGTTTGGGGTAAGTGGAAGTGTTGATGTAGTTGCAGTCCAGGAAGCTCAGCTCTGACATCCCAAACGCTCATGCGATCAGATGCGGTAGTAGAGCTGCTGTTTGGTTTCAGTCTGAAAAGGTTTGATGGTTCTGAGCCCTTCACTCGAGAACTGTGTCACAGTCGCTTCATGACTTGATCTCGATGACTTTGATGAAAGGAAGTGGCTTGTTAGATGAGGTGGATGGCTTGATTGGTTTACTGTGGGGACAGCAGAAAGAAAATGAGTCGTTTGTAAACTGATAACAGCATGAAATCAAGATTTGCAACATGAAAATCATTACTTTTGACCCAGTAATCGAAACAGATGCCATACTTGTTTGCAACTCATCTATGACCATTAGGACATGGAAATTTATGGGCATTTATGGGCAAAATAAATTACCTATAGACAATCTGGGGGTTACGCTCTGATGACAGGTAGGAACTTGACCTTTGTCCGCCCAGGAAGTAGTCCATCTGGTCATGCATCTCTCGGTTCTGCACACACAGGAGTGGTCAGAGGTCAGTTCACATAACACCAGTAAGAGCAAAATTAACTTGGACAATAAACAGACAGTGGCTGCATCTCCTTCCTTTCATCATCCCTCTTCCTCTGCAGAGATCAGGCAGGGTAGGATCTATTTCCTTTCTCCTGTCCCACACTTCCACTTAACCCTGACCCTTCTTTCCAAAATCCACTGGAATGGAATAATAATAATAATCAAGATAATAAGCGGCCCTCACCTCAGCCTCCAAGAATGCTACTTTCTCCTCCAGCTCTTTGATCACGCGGTCTCTCTCCTGGATCACCATGCGAGAGTTCTGGAGCTAAAGACGAGCAAACACACAGTCAAACACGAGTCCTGCACAAATATGAACACGGAGACAAAGTGTTTGCTTTACTGAGTCTCACACCTGTTCAATCATGTGTCTGACTTTCCTCTGTTGGCTTTTCAGCATGTCATCCAGATGGTGGATCTTTTCTTTGAGGATAGCCACCTCCCTCTCCAACTGTTCAGCCCTAAAACAATCCGCACAGACATTTACTATATAGCACGCAGTTTGATTGGCAATTATTTTATAAGATTATTGATTTGTGAGTGTGTATGTGTGTTAGCTGACCTCTGGTCCCCTTTCTGGCCCTCCTCTCTGATCTTGCGCAGCTCGCGGAGCTCCTCCTCACGGCTGCGGATTGCCTCCCGCAGGGTGGCGCTCTCCTGCTCCATCCCTCCCAGCAACCTCTGGAGCTCATCGATGCGCTTGTCTTTCCTCTCGCTGGCTTCTTCTGTGGTCTTCAACTTCTCCTCCTGGTCGCTCAGACAGTCTCTCAGCCTGTTGCCTTCAGCCTGGAGGAGACAGGGAATTTAGTTTGTTTAAAATATGGCTTTGGCACAAGCGAAATGCGGTGTACATTACTTGAAGTGATGCATACTGAATGTCAAAATAATTGTGTATCTTACCTGCAGCCTCTCCTTCTCCTCTTGGTGTTTCTTCTCAGCCTCCTGCAGCTGTGCATACAAGCGCTTACTGACTTCCCTCAGTTTGGTTCTCTCTGCCTCATCATCTGCATCCTACAGAGAAAGAATGAAGTGTTTAGCAAAACGAAATATATAAATAGCTACAGACACACTTATGATGGTGTAAATATTCATTTATTTTGTTCAGGCAAAGTCGGTTTGGCTGTCATAAAGAAAACAGGTGTGTCAGCGTGCGTCACTGGAGCAGTTGGATTATGACTTGAGTTTTCCCTCCTGTTTCTGCAACACTTCTGTCAGTAAGCCACGGCATGAGTCACAGATAAATGCCATAAATGGTGCAAAAACAATTACACTAAACACATTTCCGTCAGTATTATTGTGCTTGTGCAAAACATTGCTGACATGCAAATAGTAGTGGCTCCTAAAAGTGCACGGCTCAAAGACAGCAACAAAACTATTAAAGGATGAAGCATTTGTGGAATGCTGGGAACAATGAGGAGGGCCTGAACACAATAACAGATGCAGGCAGAGGAACAGTGTGTGCTGGAACAGCCCTCTCACACATTTTCATACACCCCAGGGGCACTTTAAGCATATCACTCTCTGGCTGTCGTTTTAATCCTCTCTTTTACCTTATATGATATCTCTGCTTGGGTCTCTGTTTAACTTTACACCTCCTTTCTACCTCTCTCTGCCTCTGGGAGGTGAGTGAATTATAAGAATCGCACAAAACACACACATTGTCTAGAGGACAAAAAACACACATAGTGGACTGCAGCTATGATACGCGAGATTTGATACGTGCATCGCTCCGACGTACTGACTCACACATATTGTGTATATACAACCTTGAATAGAGATCTGCTCACCTGTCCGTCAGCTTTAGCTCCTCCCTTTGGGGCAGATGAGACGCTCTTTCTGAAGGGAACACCGACTTTCCACCCATTTGTGTGCGGCTGGAGAAAAGGAGAAAAGGAGTGAGTGAGCAAGGAAAGACTGAAAGACGGAGATGAGAGAGGGAGAGGAAATGCCATCAAGCACACAGGAAGGATGTAAGGTTAACAATGGTAACGCCACCACACAGCAGCTCAAAAATAGACCTACCTTGCTTTTGGCCGCCATCTGCTCCCTCAGTGTTTTCAGGCAATACCTCACCTGAGTGAAACACAGACATTATAGTGAGTTGCTGAGATATTATCACAGGTTTTTTTTTAGAAAGTCAGGCTCTACCAAACGATCAAAAGAAGAGTTTAATCATCAACAGAGAGAAAATAAGAGCAGAAGAGACAGGGACATGAGAGCAGAATTTACATTATCCAAACATGCAAATTCTTATATAATCAAGGACTTAACAGACTGTAGAATTACTGTGTGTTTGCACGTTAGTGAGAAACTCAAGAGTTAGACACTATCCAGAGACTGACCTCCTGTATCTGTGAAACTTCGTCTGACAGCATCTTCAGGCTCTGCTGGTGTTTCTGCTGCTCTTGTCTGCGGGCCTCCAGATACACCTGGAACAGGGGAGAGACATGGATGCTAAACACCAGCATAACCATAAAAAGTAATCCTTATTATTCACCATTTATATCTTTAAAAGCATAACAACTGGTCGGTCGCACTCACCTTGATAACTTCGACCTGCTCCTCTGTAGATTTGACCGGTTCGGAGGTCAGGACCGTTCTGTCGTTGGACGGCTGCACCAGTGCAAACGCTCGTCCGACGGGCTGGAGATCGGACAGCAGAGAGTTAAAAATATGGCGTGGGCTGTGTTGCGTGAACATGAGTTAGATGACTGTGATACATTTCCAAACTTCCTAAGCAAATGTGAACATGATTGACGTCAGTGTGCTTTGCCCACTCTTGGACAGGAGCTGGATCATGTTTGTGATCAATATTGCAACACAGGATTTGGAAGAACTGCCAGGAGAACATCGTTTCCACAAGCTTTATGACATGTCTGTTGGGAATGTCTGAATGATGAAATTAAACCAATAACTTGCAAAATTGAATTCTTTCAGAATAAAGTGCTTCTTTCAGTTGTGTCCTCAGCAAATTATTCCTGCGTGTGACTGACAGTGAGCCTCTATAATCAGGGGACAGAAACATTTAGCCATAATCACCGTGGAGACTAACCCATAAACATCTGGTGCTCCATGGGAGTGGTAAACAGACTTGGTCAAACCCATAAGCAGAGAGAGTGAGGGAGGGACACACAAAAGACGGTGGGGAGACGTTATGTAACTTCACAGCTCTGGTGGTCTCTTTTTTTTTTTACGTAACCTTGGCGCTGGTTCTGGTAGAACAATGGTTGTCTTGAGATGTTTTGAGTTTGTGGAAACCACGCTAATGAAAAGCTGATGGCAGCTATGGCATGTTTACAAGCCTTTGGCGCCTCTGTACAGTTTATGCGTAGGAATGTGGCGTGATTGACGTCCGAATGTATGGTAGCTCTGCGCAGATTTGTCATGACAAGATTAATTGTCTGAACTTTGAAATCCAAATACGGCTTGAACGACAGAACCTTCACATCTAAAGAAAATACTGCTATATTTTTTTTTCTCATCAAATAAAATGAAGATTATTTCCCTGCCTGTCTTTAAACATACGACACAGTATATCCATAAAACATTTAATATTAATCAATTTAATATAATAGCATATTATCTTAAATCCAAACCCTTAAATATCCAAATCATGTATTTAAACTACCCTGATAAATCTTATTCCATGTAACTTTCCGATACCTCTCTCCTCAATCTTCTACTGCTCTCATGTCCAGGTCTATTCTTTGCTCTGGTGTTACAGTCCTGGGTGCAACCTAAGTTATCAGGTGCAGGAAGTTCTTACCTTGTCTCTCTGCTGCTCTGTGCTCCGAGCTGCCTGGCTCTGGTCGTGCAGTGTGAGTCGCAGTCGCCTGCACCCCTCCTGAAAAGGGCAACGAAGAGAAGATGAAGAGAATCCACAAAGAGACCGTTATGTGATGGAGAGACTGATTGGGGACTATTTTGAGGAGGAGAGGGGTGGAAAGAAAAAAAAGAGGAGGAGAGACTGAGTCATACTCACTGAATGAAACAGAGAAGGAGGGAGAGAGGGGGCAGCAGCCAGTGAGAGAGAGGGGTACAAGCGTCAGAGAGAAAGCAAAAGTTTTTCACAGCTGCACAGAGACAGATTGTTTGATTTAAATTGTGTGCTATGGACGTCACTGGGACTTAGGCGGAAACCCTCCAGACGCTCGCAGCCAATTGCAAGCGGAGGCCGGATTTCTGGGAAAGTGGGCAGAAAATGTAATGTCAAGAAAGACAGAACATTTCCATGGCAACAAAACCTCACAGTAGCCATAAACTATCTGGCGTGCTCACAATATAAGAAGGAGGGGTGAGTCGGAGACAGAACAATACACAGATGCAGGACTCGGCGAAAAGCGGAGAGCGAGAGCAACGCACACAAACCTGCAAACTTTTTTCTTTTGGCCACTTTAACAGGAAAAGTCTTGAGCGGGATGTGACTGGGTGTGTGTCTCCAACCGCAGGGAAGCCCCTTTTAAGTGATACCCAGTGAGTGTGTGCGCAAGGATAAGCATGCGGATATGAGGGAGGAGGTCAAAAGCATTATATAACTCATTCCAGTCAACACAAATTGTTCTGTTTATTTTCCCATGTATTTACTGAGTCCTCATGGTGTTTAGTTAATGTCATCTCTCAGACATGAAACAGGCAAAGAGCAAATGCGTGCAATGTTCTGCTGTGGTTAAATACTGTGAACACAAACAAATGAACGCACACAACCAAGTACAGAAGAGTGTGTGCGTGCACACACACACACACACACACACACTATCAGATTAATTGGTGATAAATTATATTGCTTAATTTGTTAATAAGCAACCAGTCTGGTAGAAGATAACAGAGTAATGCGTGGAATTTGACTTACAAGACTATGGCGTGTGATTGAGTGAGTGCGCTTGTGTCATCATTTGCTTGTCCCTATCAAGCCTTTCGTACAGTTACACTTTATTTCCCTGTTTTCTTTGGGTAAATATCCTGCGGCACAAAAGCCACAGGTACTTCCTGAAGTGTTTTGGCATTTCACCTCAAAGTCCATTTCATAGCTGTTGTGGAATTACTAATACATTTTTAGATTTAAAAACAACATAAAAACAACAATATGAACAAAAGCTCCAGAACACCTACTAAATGGACCTTGAGGTGAGACACCAAAACAATCTCTTTGACAGTCTAAGTGAGAATGTTTTGTCAACTGCTAATTCCCAAAATCAAGAATTAACTTTTAAACTCAATTGTTTAAAAAAAAAAAAAAGCTGGTATCTGACTGCCCTGGCCTTGCTGTTAGCCAGACAGGGGAAATGAACTGGGTTGTGTTGTGTAATACCATGACAAGGACATTATAAAGGAAAAACTATGAGTTCTATAGACATCAAAAGGCCTATATGATTGGCTGGTTATCTATTCAGGAAGTACAGTAATGGAAGAGAGAGCAGAGAAGGAACAGACGGGACTGAAACACACAGGAGAGATAAGAAAAAGAAAGTGACCAGGCAGTATGAACAATGTTAAAGGGACAGGAAATAGCTTAATATTTGGGGTGGGGGTGCAACTATGACAAAGAAGTCAGAGAAACAAAAGCAAAAAAAAATAAAAAATTCCCCTCTTGTTCAACATGCTTTCCTCTCAGATTACAGACACCTGAAAGCTCTAATAGGGCACAGCGATTAGGGGAGGAAGAGAGAGGAGGGGGAGAGAAAAGGGGAACAGTGGGAGGTTTGTTAAGAAGGAATCCATCATTATACAACTTCTCTGGCCTTTCGTAGTCAGACAAAGACACTAGCTAATCCTTGCTCAGGCATCGACTATTTACACGCTAGTCTCCCTGTCTGTTTTCTCTTTTATATTCACACACACACACACAAATACCACCTTCAAAGCCAACCTGTAATACTAGACTTGCTGGGAACAAGCACAAAGGGAGCAGTTGGATGTGCTCATGGACAGGGACGCATGCACGCACTCGTACACTACCACTCACATGCAGGAAACACACACACACACACGCACACAGTTATTCAAAGTACACACTACCTTTATAACTGGGCAGAAACCTGAAACTAAGCACACACACACACACACACACACACACACACACACACACACACACAGCGTCCACACTGCTAGGTGCACCGACAATGGGCACAAAAGATCACGGGGTACAGCCCAGCTGAGAGGCTTAAAGGGTATGAAGACGCTTTTGTTTTGGACTTTGGCATCAGGAGGCCTGTAAATCATCTGTGTTAAATTAGCTTAGGGGCGAGAATGCTACTGATAAACAACCAGAGCTGCTGAATTCAGGACAAGAGAAAAAAAGTCCCTAAGAGTTATGCTACCTGATTTCTCAGATTTCAGGTAGCAGCAGCAGCGGCAGGTAACATGGCCATAAATAGTCAAATAAAGAAAAATCCTCCTGTGCCTCCGAGTGTAGTGCCTGCATTCCACAAAAAGATTCCTCAAGAGAGGATGCACTACTTTCCCATCTACCTGCTGCACAGATGTCGCTTTTATCTCTTGTCCAACTGCGTTATGGACCTCGGCCTGTGAGGTGGCAACGCAGGCGCTAAGGCTGAAGGTATCATTTCAAATTCTTTCGATAACAGCACCCTTACAATACCCTACAAGTTTCTTTGCCTTACTTATATAAGGAATAAGGAAAATAAACGTTTGACCTGACCTGCCAAACTCCTAAATACATCCATGTTTAAAGTCTTCAACAGAAGCAGCTGAACAGGAACTATGCCCAAATTAAACTTCAGAGTTGTCACTTGTATGAGGAAATATTTGAGCAAAGAAACAAGAATCTGAACATTCAGTGCCAACCTTCAATACCTGACAACTAATGTAACTTGATTCTATGGACACAATTTGGCCACTGAGGTTCAATACCCAACCTTAGCAGGTTTAAGAAAGCTGCAACGATAAGTGGATCAATCAATCAAGAGAAAATTAAATTTTTTTTATAATCTTTTACCCGATTTATTTATTTTTTCAAGCAGCAATGCAAAACCTTTGTAGGTTCCAGTTTCTCAAATGTGAGGATTTGCTGTTTTCTTTGTCACATATGACCATAAACTTTAAATGCACTGTTGTTTGGACAAAACAAGAAATGTGAAAATGTTCCCTTGGGTTCAGGGAAATTGTGATGGGCATTTTTTAACATTATAGACTAATATTAATCAGTTGATAGAGAAAATAATTAGCAAATTAATTGATAAAAATAATTGTTAGATGCAGCCCTAGTTTTAATTATGCTCTCTTTTGGGATTAAATCCTTTAGCATTTACAGATTTTTTATTTCCCAGGTTAGTGAAGGGTCTTATTGTCTGACTGACTGAGGCCTGGACCTCCACTCAGCCAACAGTCTGCATTAACTAAAGGGTTAAAAGTTGTGTAAGTTTTAACGGGACGAGACGAGCTGAGGTGTGAAGTGAAGTGTTGGCTGGTTTGCGTGTCTATTGCCATCATGTGAGAACGTGAATATATATCTAATAAAGTGAGAGCTGCAGTTTGAATTCCTACAACCATTTTACTGTTTTTTTTTCCTGCTCTCTGTGGAGTGTGAACCAGGTGCTCCAGCATGCTCCAGTCGTTCCTCTACATAGATGGATATATATGTCATGTCTGGCAGATTCCCAGCCAGTGATGTCACACGCGCCTGACTGAGACGGTGATGCGGATGAGGAAAGACGGAGGGAATGTGCTGAGTCCCTCAATGCAGAGAAACTAAACGTCTGGAGGGATAATTGTGGCATTATTTAAAAAAGTGCAGAAAAAAAAAACAATCTTGTCACTGCTCTGGGTTTTTAGGGAGGAGAAACTGTGCCACAGGTTTTCAAAACATTTACAATGATAGCTACAACAATAGCTACAGGAATAATAGCACATGTTGTTTCAGAGCCAGTACTGGTTGTTCCTCCTGTTTTATTTCATGAAATCCAGTAAACGCACTTATCAACAGAACAACAAAACAAGCACTGAAGGCCTCTCTGCTACATCAGGCTCAGCTCGTCTCCACATGTATCCTCATAGAGCTGATAAACAGTAAGGGTGTTGTTTTTATGAATAACCTTTCAGTCCTGCACAGTCATTATGGTATGTTACATATGGTATAAAGGTGAAACACTTTGTCTGCTTTATTTAGACAACCTGAATAACTTTATCAGATATGCAAATACTGTAGGTGGGTGACTATTTGACTACAGGATTTGACTTTGATAAAGGTGAATTTGTGTTCTGTCTGATGATGATGCAAATGTACTATCAGTCACATGTTAAAATGTCATGTATGATAGATGAAAGAGAAACTGAGCAAATATGGAATTTCATATATTGCTTCACGACACATTTCTCAACACAATTAATCAGTTCATTAAAGGTGTGCCCTTTGTGCCCTCCGACCTTTCTGTCAGTTACACAACAGAAAATGATATTCAAGTCTAGACCATTGACAAAACTGTATAATCTGCTCAGATTTGATTTATTTGACATAATTGTGGCTGGAAGTGTTCCCTGTGATATGAGCTCAGTGGATTGGTTTGCTGCTGGCAGGTACTGAGCTCAGCAGGAGACTTCTGATAAGGGGAAAGTGTAATGTTGCTCTGCAAACTCATAAACCACAGTGCAGGTTAACAGTTTGCTTTTTCAGGTGAGGTCAATGATTAAGCCATTACTGCCACAGGCAGGGGATGAAACCCCTGTTGTACGTGACATGGGCAGCTGAGTTGCTAAGCACTCATTTCTCAGTATCCAGCAGCAAATCACATGCTGCAAACGGAGCAACTGTACTGTTTAATCCTGTTTCACAAAACTTTACATGCACAGGTGGTGCACATACTGCACAGGCAAAGCTTTTACAGGTCCTGTAACTGTCTGTCACAACTGCAACTGTAAGCCTGTAAATGATGTGGGCAGAAGGCGCCTGTGACAGGCACAGATGTTATTGGGACTAATTCTGAGCTGCTGTCTTTATGTGTGTGTTGGGACTTTGGGTGGTGGGGGTGTTAATACTTTAATTACTACAAGGCCAGAGACTTAACAGTAAATACACCACTTAAAGAGCAGATGAAGAAACCCAGCCTTAAGATCTGTGACAGAATCACAACATCACATAGAGTCTTTAAATCCAGTCCACAATACTGAGCAGCAATGTGAAGAAATACGCAAAAATCCCCAAAGTCTGAAAATTGAAACTGAAAATAAGTTCAACTGAAAAATCACCAACAGATCCAGATTGGGCAAAATTTAGGACTGAAGAATATGTCTTTACCTCTTCTGGTTGATAACAAGATTCATCATGAGCTTATTTTTTTACACAGAAATACACGTAAAGCAGCTTTTGCCAACATCACTAAACAGACAAAGGTAAGAAGTTTGACAAACATGTAACTTACCCCATAGTCTTGATTCCTGATGTCCTCAACTGTGCACAGACTTCTCGTCATCCCGTTCATCTTTGATGTGAATATAATCAATACCTCGCAAACAAACAAATGAATAAATAAATAAATAAAAGCGAACTATGTCACGCTTCCTCCGTTAGAAGTTCCCGGCGTCTGTCTGCTCACCGTCCACAGTAGCTGCTGCTGTTATCCGTCTCCGTCACTTCTCTCGTAACGTCACCGTGGGAGTGGACGACAAAAAACCCAGCGACCCGCCCACAGCGACCGAAACAGCCAAATAGGGAACTGGGGAAATAGGGAATAGCAGTGAGGGGAGGGTCAGCAGGCGCCGCTGCTCGAGGTACCTGTTCCACACAGCGGGAATAATAACCTCCAGAAACTACACATCACGAGTATCACATGATAGTGGCATGCGATATGTCAGGTAGAAAAATGCTCAGGAGGTGAATATGAGATGTCGAATAAGTGAATCTGGTCATCCCTAGCTGGATTATTAAGGGTTAACTGCAGCTAGATGTTGCCCAGTGAGTGCACTACTCAGTTTACCAATAAATTATGAATTGAAAAACGTTAAACCTCTGACTGAGCCTGTTTAAGAAGTGTCTCTTAGGATTACAAGGCAATGGAAAGCGAGGTATGAAATTCAGTGATTTAAGTGTTTTCATAGATATAAGTTATTTTTTAATATGGGTTTCTCATGATGTATAATCACAAATTTAATAATTTCTGTTTATTTATTTTGCATCTTATTAACCAATCACACATAGGCTACATTGCTGTTGTTTTTGTATATGTTTTCTGAAGTTGCTAGTGTGTGTTGGTCTTCATTATTTTCCATACAGTATCCAAATCAGTTTGCAAACACTAAGTAATCCACCACATGACCAAACATCATGCTACTCTTGGTTTTTTTTTGTCAAAGTTGCCTTATTGTGTTGTGGTAATACAGCACAGACCTTTCAGTTCAGTCTGTACTACAGATATGTTACCACAGAAGGACAAAGTAACTTTGATAAGGGAAAAAAATGCAGACTTGCTCACGGAGTCAAGTTTATTTTTTTTTTAATTAATCGAAAAATCATAAATTTGTGCAAGTTGATTTTTTATACAATATGAAAATGAAGGGAGACCAGTTGTTAAATAAGGGAAACACATTCATTAAAATACTTTAAAGCTTACTTACTACTTTTAAAACTTTGTCATGTCCTCAGAAAATTATTAACTGCAGTGAAAAAATGTGTGGACAGTTTATTTAGAATTTTCCTCACATCGGTATGAACAACAGAGGTCACAGGGTTCACAGAGGTCATACGACACAGAAAAGGAACAAAATGACAGTGCACAAGTGAAAGAGTGAGCATTCCTCTGCTGGCATTTGGCTGATACAAGCAGCAGCTGATCCAGGCCGGCACAGACCTCTAACTGGATAAAGACTTTAATGGCATTAATGGCTGTTGAGGAGCAAACAACAGCTCACGGTGGCACACAAGGGATGATGCTAAGTGAATTTGAAAAATACAAGCCCACACAGAAACAAACACGGACACAGGAAGAACAACTGTTGCCATCTTACATTCATCAGATGTGAATGAAAGTCGTGAATGTCAAGTAAATGTTTTCAGATCACTCTTTACCGCAATGAATTCATCACCATGAATGTTCTTACTTTATATCAGTGGGTGTTATTTTTCGAATGGTTGACTTATTATTTGGAATGAAGCTCTCCCACATGCACCAAACACTAATAAACACACCTAAACCTTATCGCAGTGCACAGTGTGTCATCATGTGTCCCACGTACTAATCCATAATATGAACCATAATTATGTGTTTACCTCACACACACTCAGACAGACTGATCCAGAGATCAGACTGTTATGAGAGGTCCACATGTTTACATACGTCCACGTCTGAGACTATGGAGTGAGTCACAGTCCCGCCGCTCACAATCACTCCCACTCTGCCTCTTCCGATCTGACTTTCATGGTCTTCGCGAAGAAATCCAAAGAAGACATCCACAGGGTGCAGCGTCACTGGTTTTCAGAACCACAAGAATCTGTAAAAGTGTCCATATGGAAGTGAATATGAAAAACTTCATTTTCAAGTGTTTGATTACAAGTCAGCAATGATTTGTAGAATACCACAAGAGGAAGAACCATTAGAGAGGAAAATAAACTGTAAAGATGGAAATTTCAATAAATTACTAGAAGATCATGAACAACACTGTCTTGGCAGTTAAAAGTTTAAATGAAGAAATTAAAAAGATTTTTAAAGAATGTACCACTGAGAGGTTGGTGATCCAATTAGATGATGTGAACAAAAGCACATTAAACTGACCCATAAACAGGAAAAGGCAGACAAAGGTCATGTATTGCTTGTGTGGGAACAAATGGTCAAGGGTTAAAAGTGCAGTACTGTGACACAGAGTCAGTGTGCTGTGATACGATGACAACACTTTCTGAAAAACAATGATGACACTATAACTGTAGTCACATACTATTTTCCATCATTTCCACTCCCTTATTATCATCACAGCCCTACCTATCACTGAGGCCCTGTCCTTGGATTGTTTTTTTTAGAGGTTGCAGCAGCTTGGAGGGAGCTTTCACATTCTGTAGTGTGTAAGTCCAACATGATTTAGTATTACACCAGAACATCATAGAACAGACAGAAAACTGGAACACTTGATTTCACAGGTCTGTAATTATCCAGGAAAGTTTCCAGGAAAAAAATAATGTAATTTAGTACTAATTTTATCAAAACACAACATTTTTCGGAGACTTATTTTACATAGAGTTTAGTCAGTTGAGTTTAGGAGCAGTTGTTGATAGCTGTGTAAGAACTGCTCCATGGAAGTACGAAAGTATGAAAAATCCAAAGAATTTGAACCATTTCTTTGTGGTATCATGACTTCAGTATTAATCATGTGCTGTTTAAAACAAGGATGTGTAGGAGGATATGTCAGTTATAGCAATGACATATTACAATGACAGTCATTGCTATGCCCCTTATCTTTCTATTTGGTGAATGAATGCAGAACTAAATCAAACGAGATTTGTCATCATATCTAAACTATTGTCTTCTGGCCTATGAGACTTGTATTTCCACATGCGAAACACCTGCAGGCACATGAGAATATTTTTACACCTGCGGTAGAGCTGCATACTTTCAGGACAACAGCAACTTTATGTAACAGCAAACACATCATTTCAAAACACAACACACCCAGCGACTGGCAAATCAGCTCTCAGGGTTTAAAGTTGTGCATGGAAAGCTGGAGTTGTATGGAAACCCAATCCCACCCATGGAAAATATGTTGCCTCACATTTTACAGTCTGGCAAAACAGGTACTGTTCACACCAAGTTGGTACTGTACAGGTTTGGGTACACTATTTGGGAGGCGTAGTATTATGGATACTATTACATCTGGTTCTACAACAAACATTGAAGGTGTTGACTTTGTGCTAACAAAATTATTTCAAAATATGTTCCAAGTTAAGATTTTAAAAATTCAATTCCCGGCAACCAGGAGAGGAAAGGAGGTTTTTTTCAGGTCTTTTGTAGATCAATCACACAATAGAACTGTGGGAGGTGAAGTATGTTCGTCAAAATCAGCAAGACACCTGTTCAGTTCTCAGGCACAGACGCAACTGTGGTCTCTGAGAATAGTCAAACACAGTGTTGCTATGAGTGCCAAGGTGCCAAATAGGATGTAAACACATAAATAACCAAAGGAGTTGGTGAAGTGTCCCTGCAGGGGGGTGCTAGCTTTCATCCTTCTTCTAGATGTAGGAAAAATAAATGCCAGAAGTGATAAAAATGTTTTGGCATGACACAGAACGGCCTGGATTATTAATACTGTAAAGAGATTTTGTTGAGATTAAGGGATGAGTTGGATCAACAGTTGTCAGTGTTATAAATGGGATTATCTTCTGATATCAGATTTTGTTTCATAAGCATCTTGTAGTTCTGTAGAAATTCCCTTGAAACCAGTTTTTTTTTTTTACTACACAGATCTCAGTGGACATTCTTGACATACCTCACCCTGTGGTGCTCCGAGCAGCAGCACGCCATCTATCACTGCCCACTGTACCAACTACACGGCCTCTCGTTGCCTGCCTGCATCTCACGGCATAATCCTGATCACACAGTTACAGCTTCAGTAAACAGGTGTGGCTTTGTGTTTTTCTTCCTCTCTTACAATGCTAAACTGTTTCTGACTTCATTGTTGTATGTACAAAGTAGAGGCCTGGATTATTCAACCAGGCGTGTGTGAACATCTTGTGAATGTGTCCATAAACAGGTATGCTGACCTTACTTAAACTCATAAAATTTTTCTGCCCCACAGATACAATCAAAATCCAGATTTATTTTTATAATAATAATAAAACTTTATTTATAAAGCACTTTTCATACAAGAGACGTATCTCAACGTGCTTTACAATAAGAATAAAAAATGAAATATTACAGTAAAACAAGGGTGAATAGAAGGACAATGAAATGAGACAATAAAAATAACAGTAGATGATAAAATATATACATGAAAATAAAAACAGAAACCAGCAAGAATAATAAAATATGAGAGAATTAATTGAAAGCCAAATTAAATAGGTTTTCAGTTGTGGTTTAGAAATGACCCTGCATCTCTTCCAGCTCTTGGTCAAGTATTCAATAGTTTAGGAGCATTACCTTTTGTAAAATATTACACTTCATTAAGCAAATTACCTCTCGGAAAAAAAAACATTACAATCATACGATGTATCATTATCTCTCTTTCAAACACAAAATGTCAGCATTAAATACATATTTTCCAGTCATTTTTCCTCCTGTTTGTGACTTGTAGCGTACACATTCAGTTGCGTATTGTAGAACTCCTGAACCGAGTTCATCTGAATCCCAACAGGCTTATGTGAACACAATAATGATGCGATTGTGACCATAAACAGGAACACTGTCCTCTTGTAACAACACATCAGCCGTGGTGATTCCAGCCCTGCTTGATGCTTATCACATCAAAAACAATTCTGCACCAAGAGATACGAGGGCAAAACAGCAACGGAGGCACTCAGTCATGGTCGCTGCAGGTTCAGTGAATGGCATGTTAACACGTGTGATGCTTCTCTCATGGAACAGCTGATGCAAACATTAGCAGCTCCGTTCCCTACAGGGCTCGTACAGGATGGGTAGTCTTGCTTTGCCCATACAGCACCTAATGTATCTCAGCTCTGCACACTAAGGACGCCGTGCAGTTAAAAAGATATATACTTGATAAGGGTGTCACACAAATTAGAAATGTATGTAAATGAGCAAATAAAGTAAACTAGTAATATATGGACCTTTTTCCACAGGACTATAAATTTAACATGGCAGAAAGCACAGTTGTAATTAATAATATTTATGATTTAAGTGCTCTAAGACGACATACCACTGAGTCAGTGTGCACACTTTGGTGAACCTAAAAGGGAAGAAGCCGTTATTGATGTTATTAGTTAAACCTGTGGTTTTTCTGTTATGACAAGACAAGCTGTAATCAGACCGGCAACGTGTATTAAGGTCGGGTGCTGGACACACACAGGCCTTGTGATCAGTTCTGACAGCACAGAGATAATAACCATCATGTGCTTAACCAGCTCCTGGAGGTGGTACTGACTAACTCATTCAGGTTCACACCTGTATGAACATCAGGCTTATATAACAGACATTACCTCTAATTCCAGAGAAGCTCAGCCCTGCAGCCAAAACAATGACTTGATCCACCTGTGTCGTCTTTGTTCTTTTATTCTTTTTTCAGCACAAGTCATATGTGCCGCTCAAACACATGGGTATGTTGCTATATGCAATATTTAAATATGAATGTGTTTCTGTAAAATCATAATCAACCTGCTAGGATGTTTTCTGCCAATTACACGTTGTTCATATAAGTCACATTTTCTCCGTTTGACTGTACTGTGCTGGGGGACAGTGTGTCCACGGATTTCCCCACAACTACGGATAAATTATATAATAAAATATTATATAAATGATATATTAGTGTTTTCTGCTCTATCACGGTTATCAAGGTACATTTTTAAAACAAAAACAATATAATAGGTTCATTATACTTAAATGATCAGGACACTAGCTTGATCTGATTGATTTGATTACATGACTGATTCAATGGTGAATTCTTCAAATTCATTTTACTGGAGTAGAACTGGGGTGTGTGATATTGCACTTTACTTCCTCCACCTGTGATTACCTGTGTCACTGAAGCACTGACCTTACAAAGAACGAGTGGGCAGGCGAACTTCACTTTAAACTTAATTGATGAAAAGAAAGTCAGTAATGTCTGACTCCATCTGTTAAAGGGAAACGTACAATGTAATTAGGAAACTGTGTATCCTGAAATGTGGCAGAAACAAACTATGCAATAAAACATCTGATTAACATTCTGTAAATATAACAAAGAGAATACATGTAGATCAATTCAACTTGATACTTTTATTGTTTCTATATTGAAAAGCAATAGAAAAAAGATCAAATTTGTGAATTAGTTACAGTGTGAAAATTTTCCAGTCAACAATTACAGTATATACCAGCAGCTTTAATTCAACATATTTATACTCAACTGTCTAAATCTAAATCATATGTACCAGTTTCCAGTTTTGCTGGAAAGAGAAAGAGAAACATTACATTGCAACAAAATGTAATACAATTATAATTTCAACTGATTGTTCAAAGTGTTTACAAAGTCAGCTTAAGACTCAAAAAAAAATCTACAAATGTTAAATACAAACACTTTACAAAAAAAAACATTCTGATAAGAATAACAAGTCAAAAAACAAATTATTTTGCAGCAATTTTAAGGCATCGTAATGAAATGAGAGTATATATGTTTCATTGACTTAAGATAAGGGAATGCATAGACATTGTGCAGCTTCAACAAAAAAACGTTAAGTTTCTACCACACAGAGAAGATATTTGGCCACTATTTTGCTTTAAAAGTGGAAAATCACTTTAAGACTTGGCAAAGGAAAGCTGAAATTAATCTCAACCTGTGTAGTAAAGAGAGGTTTCTGTCACATTTGTGCTATTTATTACTAGTTTGGAAGCAGAATTTGTGTTCCTGCCCAAGAAAATCCATTTGAGTTGCTATTAGTGTCATATTTTGTCAAATTTTATCACTCAGAATCCCGACACTGTGTACCGTGTGACACCGAAGACTGGAAAGTGGAGTAAACTTCAGGCACAGGACAGACATATTCCATATTGAAAAATATACACAGAAATATATTTTGTTTTCAATAAACAAAATTCAGATTTCATTCAGTAAAGAATCATTTGTCATATCTAAACAATTAAATCTGGTTACTCATTAACTTTCAGAAAAACAACATAAGCGTTTAATCGTATTGCAGTTTTCAATCACTTGTGGCTATCATAATGTACTCAGTGTCAGCATTCAGTCCATTCTACCTACCTTTTGTGCATGCTACAGAATTTGTGAGTTCAGTCAGCTGACAGCTGTGCTACAGAGAAAACTACAACATATAAACTGTCAGCACCAGGAAATGATGAAAGTATTGTTTATAATTCAGTCAAAGCCTGACATAGTACCATAAGTGCTTGACTCAAGAATCTTAACCTTAAATTGGTTTGAGATGTATTGGTGGTGGTGGTGGTGTACTATGCGCATGAAATGGCGTTATTACAACTGTACCGTGGAGAACATCTGTTTACACTGTAGACTGAATTGAATTCCCTGAAATGAAGAGGATGTTTTGCTTCCTTCCATTCACTCGTGTGGAAAATCATCCCCCTACTAACTTCTACAATATGTAAATTTTCCTCCTAGATCCTTGTATCCTTCCCTCATTGTCTGTAGTGCTACGCTTGTTTTTAACTTGGCAGTGCGATATTTCCACGCCCTGGTCCTGTCCCGAAAGTTCGGCTTCAACAGGAGCTGGTCTGGAGGTTGCTCTCAGTGAGGATGGAGGTGATTGTGGACGGGTCATAAAGGCTGTCGTCATCATCCGAGCTGAGGGCTGATGAATCCAAAGCTGGGCGCATTGCTGCCTGAGTTTTCCTCCTGTAACACATCATTATCACACCATCATCATTATAATGATTACTGTCATTTTTAGCAACTGAAACGCAGTTTTTCCTTTATCAGTTGCTTTATGCGTAGGTTTTAGCGCTGGCAGGTGATCAGAGCGTTCCCTCTGCTGGTAATATAAAGGAACAACATGCATTTCCTTGCTATGAGTGGGAGCATGTCTGGAATTCAATTTCCCCTGTGGTGCATGAGTAATGTGCCGATTTAGTTAAATGAAATAGCTGTTCACATGTGGCTGATTGCTCATATGTTTTACACACATCACATTGTGAAATTCAGCACCCCAGGGAGACTGGGTGAATCTCCACCAGGTGTCTATAATTGTGTGTAACAGCTGAAGAACCTGAGTTCACTAGTAATTGCATCATTCGCATTTCAGATTAATTCATTCTGTAACATAAGAAGGCGGAGATGCTGTCTCTCTCTTACTCACTCACACACCCACATGCACGTGGGCACACTCACACACTGCTGTGATAATCAGGCTGCCAGGAAGTGTCTTGCGCAATCATTACCAAAAGCTCACAGCAAGTAACAAACTGGATGAGAAGCACAAAAAAAAAAAAATCAGAGACAAAGAAAAACGCTTACTTGAGCTCAGCTTCCAGAGCTGTGACTCTGGTCTGCAAGGCCTCTTTGAGCTCCACCTGTTCCTCCATGTCTCTCTGAGCTTTTCTTCTGAGTCCATCTATTCTTTCCAGCTCTGTCTCTCCTTCATCCACCTGCCTCTTCAGGGCCTTCACCCTCAGAGCAAGCTGCAACATAGGTTTCACCGATTACTGTGTGCGTTTTTTGTACAAAGCAGACGTTTCATTTCAGTAAATTCATCCTACTGACATACAGTAGACGGTGAATGTCTATACCTGGTCTCTCTGTTCGGTTTGTGTGTGTCTCTCCTCATCCAGCGTCATATTGAGGTCCTTAAGTTTCCTCTCAAGACGACGTTGAGATGCCAACACAGAGTTCTTCTCCCTTTTCATATATAAGAGCATTAACATGTTCATGAGTAACACTCTGCCCTTAAGGAAAAAAATTGCCATCTCATTGCCCCCATTAAGCTGCAAAGTAGTAACATGTGGAAGTCTGGTTTTGTATGTACATAACCGTATTAATATGAAGCAGAATATCTTAGTTTCAAACATTTCAAGCACAACAGTCAAATCACACCAAACTTGATGTTGCAGCCAAAAACGTAGCTTCTGTCATTTAGATTTAGCATAAGCTGTTCACAAAATATAATAAAAAACATCCTCCACCAGAGACAAACTGGGTCCATCCACCAAATCTGTTCAAAACATTTCTATATATTTTCAAAGATATTCAAAAAAGGGCAAAACATTGTGATCCAGAATGAAAATCTATTGGAGTGGAGTAAGTTTTCTTTCTGTTGCACTGTACCGTTCCTCAATTCGTAGATGTTCTTCAAGCTCTTGGATCTTGTTCTCCAGCTGGGAGACTCCTGCTGAGGAGCGAGACTGGCCCTCCATGTCAGCCACACGACTCCTCAGCTCCTTCAGCTGCCGGGACAGACACAGACAAACAGAAGTGGAGAGTCAGGGGAAGGTGAGTGTGTTAAGACTTTCACCAAAATGCTGTATTTCATAAAGTGAAGTGAAGATACATGAGTGCAGGGAGTGGAAAGTGTATTTTGGCAGACTGAGGACTTCAGTTTACTGCTGTTCACAAATGTCAGCAAACACAGATGTGACGTATGTGCACATACATGTCTCTCCATGGCGTTCTTGTCCAGCTCCAGGTCCTGTTTGGATGACCTCTCCTGCATGAGCTCAGAGCGGAGCTGATCGATCTGGTCTCTGCTCCTGGCCACCCGGTCTGTCAGCATCTCCACACTGCTTTTCTCCTCCTCCAGCTCCAACTCCATCCGCTTCAGCTTGTCCTGAAAGAGACGAGACAAGATCAACTTTCATTAGGTGCCCAGAAGGGAGACTAGATGGTGTCTATGAAAACTGAACACAAACAGGTCACACGGTATATTTCAATGCTTTTCCTTTCAAACATATTGCCTTTATAAAAGGTTGTGTGACCTGTTTATCATCTTGACCATGATGCTTTCTGCTTCTTCAACATGCCTCTGAGGCACTACCAATTTAAATATGCACATATTTGAAATCAATCATCATCTTGGGAATATAAATTGGAGAGAATTATCAAAATATCGACTCTGACAAATCATGACTTCCCGACTTTTGATAAAGACTTTTGCCAAATAGGTAGAGCATATGTGCAGGACACAAGTCTACATGCTATTCTATTAACCTTAGACGTCTGATTTACAGATGGAGGTATAATACTTGCATAAATGTGTCCATAAACCTGTACAGACTGTTATACTAACAATGTATGCAGAGCAGAACTATTAACAGCTGGGATGTCTGTAGTCATGGTTTATTCTCCCAAACCAGGAGGCGAGCAGACGCACGTATCCTACCTCCAGGATACGAATCTCCCGGGTTTTCTCGTTGTGGTTGTTTTTGCTGGCCTCTATCTCTCCCTCAAGGTGGCGCAGTCTGTTGGTGAGGAGCTCTTTATCCAGCTGGTGGTTGTCTCTCTCCTCGCATACAAGCAGGAGCTCCTTCTTGTGCCGTGACATCTAGTTAGATTTACCATAATATTAGAAACAGACACATGCCACACTGAATGTTCATCATGTGAAAAATATGTGTGCAGCTTTGCATGAATCAGTTTTGCATGAACACAATCAGTCAAGCATGCACTATGAATATTATGCGTCAAAACTATTTGATACATTCAGACCAGACCTGCTTTTCATAATAAAAACAAAAACCAGGCCAAACAGAGAAAAACATGCACACAAACACTTAAACCACAAACACACACTTCTTCCTCCAGTCTCCTTAGATTTATGTGGCTTCTATCCAGCTCCGTCTGAGCGTCGTTTCCATGACGTTGCACCTCCTGCATTTCCTTGCGTGCTCTCTCTCTCTGCTCCTCCAGCTGAACCCTGAGAGCCTGTGCCTCCTCTCTTGAGGACATGGTCAGAGACTCATACTGACAGGGAGGGAGAGGGGACAAAACACAAAACAAAGTGGATGAATATTTTGTGCTGTGTCCTCTAATGAGCATTTGGATGCTCTGGGCTGCACAGGCATCTCATCATTTGCAAAAGGTATAAGCGGGATCTCTCTTTTTTTACCTCTTTGTTGAGTTTCTCTAGAGCTCTCTCCTGCTGATGTTTGGTCTCTTCCAGCTGGTTGACGGTCTGTTTGAGTGTCTCCTTGTCTTTCTCTGTATCCTCCAGGCGCAGGCTGAGTTCACGGTTATCTTGGCTCAGTCTGGAGGCTTTTCTCTTGGCCTCATCTAGCTCAGATCTCAGGCCTCTCACCTCAGAGTGTAGGGCGAGCTCTGCCTCTGAGCTCTCTGTGGCGTTGGTCTGCAGCTGAGCCTGAGGAAACCACAAGAGGATGTCCAATTATGCTTAACTGTGTCTACTGCTATCTAACACACTAAGCTGAAGAGTGTCGTTTGTGAGGATGCAATATTACCTCTAACCGTGAGAGTTTCTCTCTCAGACGTGTGTTGGCCTCTTGCTGCTCCTGCTGGGAATCTTGGAGCGATTTCATGTCCAGCTGAGCTCTAGTGAGATGTGTTTTACTGGCCTCGAGTTCCTCTTCAGCCAGTGAGAGTTTCTCTTTGAGCTGACTAGCTTCACCACGTGCCTCACCAAGATTCTGCTCCAGCTCTGAGATTGTGGCTGGGTCTGGGAGCTATAGGCGGGAAGACAAAGGTAGGATTTAGACTAAAAATACAAGAAAGATCAGTCTAAGCAACTAGTCCTACCTATCTACCACATACACATCACCACTCTTTATTGAGATTAAACTAACCCGTTTGTTTTTCTCTTGTGCCTTGGAAATGTCATCTTTGGCCCTCTGTAATTGGTCCTTTAGCCTGTCAATCTCATACTTCAATTCTGCCTCTTGGCTCTGGTGAGATTTTTTTATGGAGATGACCTCCATGACCTTCCTGTCAAAGTCTGTCCTGTGCTTTTCCACCTCAGACTTTGCCTTCTGCAGATCAGCATTGCATCGCTGAAGTTCCTGAAACAGAAACATGAACAATTTGATGGTGAAATGTTTCTTATTCACCTGTGCATCAGTTATCATGTAAAGCTCTGTGTGTGTGTGTGTGTGTGTGTGTGTGTGTG